TAATATATTGATTAATGACATTGTATTAAACCACCCAAATATTTAGGCTACTAATTTCCGTTGTCAGTGCAGACTTTTTTTTTGTTTTTAGCTTAGGCAACTGACCGTTATGGATTAGTGTAGCCTGCATTAAAAAGTCTTGAACATAAAACAACAGGATAAATATAGTTGATGACTAGACATAATCATTGCATGACTCTAGACACTTCTTTGTGAAGACAGTGGAATAATACAGTGAAATAATATGTTCTTTAGCCATATAAATACAGTTGCCATGTGCGTGGGTAAAATTTACCCGCTGGCGCTTTTAGGTATACAGCGACCTCTGGCGGTTCTAGTGTTAAGAACATATATTTATGTTCCTAAATTGCTATTGTTTTAAGGACGAAAAATAGGAGAGTATAGAACTTATATGACCATGTCTAATAGGGAATTTACCTGGAAATCATCCACAGATGGAGCGGTTCGCTGTGTTGTGCGTCTACGGTGCCACTGGTGCAGCGTGTTACGGGTCTCAGAGCTCAGCACACGAGCTGCCTGGTCCTCCTGGAAGTTCTTGATGAGAGACATTGCCCCATATGCACTGGTCAAGTAATAGCCTCCTACAATCAGATAAAAAACTGGAACATTAAAAAAGTTTGATACCCAATGAAATTATGTAATAACTTCAGCAGTTATTGCAGTCGCGCAGTATTTGTGACGAATATGTGGAAACCGGGGTCTAATGTACCTTCTCCATGAAGCAATGATGGGTCCAGTAACTCCATCATGTACTCTATTTCAGCATCCAGTTGTGGCATGTCACACTGGGCCATCACATATGTAAGCATGGGCAGGAAGTCATCTGCACCATACATCCTCCCTGCCATTGTTAGAACAAAGATGGAAATCATGAACTGAAATCAAATGATGCTAAATTATTATGGTCACACTCACGCATTTCACACAAATGCATCACGCTCATGTACCTGAGTTGTTCTCCATTATGGTGTAGATAAGCTTGCACACACTTAGAAGCAGAGACACTTTCTTCTCTGGTGAGTACATCTTGCACATGTTGTGGAACTTGTGGCGAATCTTCTCTATGGCCACAGGGTCAGGAGGCAGAGCTCCATCCACACCCATCTCCTGGGGCCGCTTGGCTTTGGCCAAAACCAGATTCTCTTTCAGCTGCTGCCAAGTCCCACTGCTCACCTGGAAGTCCCGCAGAGCGGCCTCTATCACAGGCTTCAGAGGCTTCAGCACACACTTGTGCATGGCTTTCTCCATCACCTGATCTATGGAGGAAAAATTACGTTATATAATAATTGTATAGAAATAATTAGAATAATTGCATATAAATAGGTAACAGGATAAAGCTAAATGCAGTTAATGGAGGTTTTTTTTTTTAAATATTGTAAATATTGTTAAAATAGAAATCATCATTTAATGGTTCAGTTGCTTAAGGCTGCATTTATTTGTTATAGCAAATATAGCGAAACATCACAGTTGTAATTTAATATATTTTAAAAGCTATTTATTTTTGTGATGGCAATGCTGAATTCTCAGCAGCCACTATTCCAGTCTTCAGCGTCACATAATCCTCTAAAAGTATTTTAAATAAAAATAATAAATATATAAATATGAATATTTATATAAATTATATAATTTATTGTAAATATAAATATTTTGACAATAGATAGATAAAAGTATTTCCAATTAAATGGACTCTTTCTATAAAAGCATTTTCTTTTTCTTTTCATTTATATTAACTTGATGATCATGTTATCCAGTCTGATTAAAAAAAAATAAAAATACATCCAAATTACACCACATATGTTTTGGAATTTGTTTTGGTGAACTCTGAAAACTAAAAAAAAAAAAAATACATCCAAATTACACCACATATGTTTTGGAATTTGTTTTGGTGAACTCTGAAAACAGAAATAGTAACTATAGAAGGCAGAGGAACAGAAAAACAAAAACTTGGAACATACAATCCCTTAAAAAAGTGAACAGAATGTCTGTGGGCAAGTCTATTTGTGGATGAAAGGACTATGATAATGAGTATATTGACTGGGATCTACGACGTGGTTTGTTCCATTTCCTGCTTTAAAGGGGAATACCTGCTCATAGTATTTTTACACCTGCTTTTCCAAAACTCTTCAACATTTACAAAATGTCTCCTGACAGCACATCTCTGGTATCTCACATCTCAGAGTCTCTGGTATGCTCACATATGACTCAATGCAACAGGTTTTGTCTTGTAACTTTGATTGTGCAAGCAGGGCTTGAAATGATACCTAAACTGTAAAATCATCTAAACTAGAAGAAGTGTATGCGTAACTAAAATCATCTGATCTGAAGAGCAGAATGTAATGTTTAATCGGGCTTTGGAAACTGCTGACAACACTGCTTCTGTCAGCACACTGGACCACTGAGGAAAGCAACACCATCATAATAAGTGCTCTGACAACACACACACATGCTTTGGCAGCACTTTATACTTTTTTAAATATATAATAGCAAATCACACGGTATATGTTTTTAAGCTAATATAAATAGCATAACGATTTGTTTCCTAGGAAAACACTGTGCATGATATCCACAAAATGCTAGATGATTTCGAATCAACATGACAGTTTACACTTCATTTATCGTAATTGTCTTAATCAGGTGTGTCAGGAGGATGACTCAACTGCTTGTGACCGTAACAGCTTGGCAAACCTGTTTTAAGAAATTAAGTAAACTAAACCTGTTTTGAGATCCAAATCATCTCAAAGTAAAGAGTAAAAACACACACAGGTTGCTTGTTGGCAGTTCTCACAATGGGGCCAAATGTTATCAACTAGTGTACACAACAATAGCAGCTTTAACCGGTCAAGGCTACAGCAACTCCCCCTCCATTCACAAGAAATCATCCATCAGAAGCATAACTAATAAACAGCCAGTCATAGTCATTGTGCCTTACATTAGGGTTTTCTAGAGGTCTGACTTTAGCTCTGAGTCTGACATCACTTTAACAGATTCAGCTGAGTTGCAAAATGTGTTTACATGGTTGTCAGTCCCAAGAGAGAGCAGACAGCTCGGTAAATAAGCAAGGCTCCTCTCACTTTTGTGAGTAATGCAGAGAGTTCTGCTAATGAAGGGCAGCACAGAGCCAAAGATTTAGAGAAACTGAACAGGTTTGCTTTATTCTGTGGAAGAACCGCAGATGCAGTGGAAGCGAAGGAATTGGGAAGGGTACAGATGTTAGTTATGTAATATAATATTTGATTTGATTTAATTTATAAAATTTAATATTAATATTGTCACGAGATCTCGTGAGATCCGATGTGTCGAGAACGTGACGATATCCTCACACAGACCTTTCAGATATATTTGCATTACACTGGCTCATTCACAAGTGGTGGTATGTAAGATATTTTATGTTACATCAGGCAAGTGGCCTCATGATAAGCGGGAAAATTACACAGTGTAGTCTTTATCCAGTCATAAAAACAGAATTCACAGTTTAACGCTGAATGTCACGGAATTTGTCAAATTTTGAATGAATTAATCAAAAGTAGGTCATTACACGATATGGACTAGTATCTGTAAATATTAAGCCGCAAAAGTCAATTTAAATATGTATCCTGCATGTTCTGCCTGTCTCTGTTAATGAATGGCACGGACGCGCGGTTTCATTTACTACACACACACTGAAGCGCGCGTGACACTTGCGGTGATTTCAGCGTCTACCGTCTCACTAAATGAGGACGTAAACACATGAGCAACATCTCCAGAACTGCTCTGAGAGTCACTTCATGAGCATTTTAGCGTTTGATTTGAGTAAAACTAGAGTCATATCACATACATAGAACTGTAAAGGTATTCACGGCAACCCATCAAAATAAAAGTCCGGTTTGATTTGAAGACATTGTGCCTATAACTATTTTTCAGTAGAATGTATATAGCCTATTACTACTACTACTACTAAAATGAAACAAACATAATTTTTTAAGGAATAATCACACAAAATATTTCTTCCATGTTTTATTTTAATAGTAAATCCACTTTGTTTGCCAAAAAATCTTGTTTGCTTAATTTTCAATAATTAAAAGATAAATTATAAATTAATATTTTATGCCTTAATTTGATAACCAGAAAAATGTAAATAAACAACACAGAATCTCTGAGGGGAAAAAAAAATCATAAGGCTACTTTAAGAAAAAAAAGAATAAATTAAGTTGTTTTATACATTCAAATAATTAGACATGCTAAAACACAGAATTTGGTAACAATAAAACATAAGGTTGGAAAAAATAAAACATTTCATAGGGCCCTAAAACATGTTTTTTGATTAATGAAATGTAATTTAACCATTAACAAGGAGTCCAGAAAAATTTAAACGGAAAAAAATCAAAAGCCGTAAACTTGGGGGAAACACTGAAAGGTCATATTGGTCAAAAACACAAGGATGAATAAAATTAATCAAAAGTAGGTCATTACACGATATGGACTAGTATCTGTAAATATTAAGCCGCAAAAGTCAATTTAAATATGTATCCTGCATGTTCTGCCTGTCTCTGTTAATGAATGGCACGGACGCGCGGTTTCATTTACTACACACACACTGAAGCGCGCGTGACACTTGCGGTGATTTCAGCGTCTACCGTCTCACTAAATGAGGACGTAAACACATGAGCAACATCTCCAGAACTGCTCTGAGAGTCACTTCATGAGCATTTTAGCGTTTGATTTGAGTAAAACTAGAGTCATATCACATACATAGAACTGTAAAGGTATTCACGGCAACCCATCAAAATAAAAGTCCGGTTTGATTTGAAGACATTGTGCCTATAACTATTTTTCAGTAGAATGTATATAGCCTATTACTACTACTACTACTAAAATGAAACAAACATAATTTTTTAAGGAATAATCACACAAAATATTTCTTCCATGTTTTATTTTAATAGTAAATCCCCTTTGTTTGCCAAAAAATCTTGTTTGCTTAATTTTCAATAATTAAAAGATAAATTATAAATTAATATTTTATGCCTTAATTTGATAACCAGAAAAATGTAAATAAACAACACAGAATCTCTGAGGGGAAAAAAAAATCATAAGGCTACTTTAAGAAAAAAAAGAATAAATTAAGTTGTTTTATACATTCAAATAATTAGACATGCTAAAACACAGAATTTGGTAACAATAAATAATATGGTGAGAAAAAATAAAAACATTTCATAGGGCCCTAAACATGTAATTTTTGTTAAACTTTTAATAAATTGATGTGAAAATGTATAAGTTAATGATTTGAATTAATTAGACATGCTTTTTAATTAATATAATTTAATTTAACTATTAAAAAGGAGTCGAGAAAAATTAAAATGAAAAAAACTGAATTTGGAAAAAAATAAAACTGAATTTAGGAAAAAATAAAACGGAATTCATAGAGCCCTCTAACTATCCCTAAGCCTTTATTAAAATAGATGTTTAATTTCATAAAGTACAAGTTGATTTCAAAATGCACCTACTTTTTTGCATTTTATGTTTTTCAGTTGAATAAAAGACTATTTTCCCCTATATATTTCATCATTGAGGATTTCTTTAAAAAAGTAAAAAAATCTCATCTCGTCTCGTTCTTGTGAACCCAGTCTCGTTTCTCGTCTCGTCTCGTGGGATAAGTGCCTCGTCACACCCCTAGTCATTGGATATCAGGACAACAGGAAATGTGGCTCAAATTAGAAACACTCATCCGTCAAGGCCACCTCTACTTGAAAGGCTATCTTCCAAGGCTTGTTAACATCCCCTTCAAAACAATCTCCTGTCCTCCTCAGCTTTGCTCCTACATAGTGCTCTTTCTGTCTCTCACGCTCCGTGTCTACACTGCAGACTGGAAAATGAAGCCGCAATGACAGGAGAAGTGAATCCACTGATGCTACCCACACAAGAAGTACATACTAGTGCTCGACGAGTTAGGAGACAAGGCCATAAAGTACGTCACAGCACAGAACAAAAGGCACACACAAACTAAACCAGACAAACAGCAAATAAAATCCCCCTCATAGTCTATTGACCCCTCCAAGTAAATGAAGTCTTTCAGGAAAATGAATGATAACTTCAAAATGAATCTCTACTCTCAGACGTGTTTTTAAGGAAGTACTCAGAATAGAGCCTTGGCCTGAATGAGCAACAATACGTCTTTCCAGATACATCTCGATAAAACAGAGTGTCTTAATCCTGTTATGACTCAAAAATGAGTGAAGAGAGCTGTAACACTGACTTAATCTCTATTTAAAAATAGAGGGTGACATTAATGTCAAAGGTCATTATCTGTGCATTCAAGCTTGTTGTTTTTAAGTCGCAGAATAGGATTTCTCTCTTTGGAGGCATAATCTCATAGCTACAGCCCTTATTGTGCTGGGCTTGTTTAAACACAACACGAACATAACAAAACCTGCCAATACACATAGGCAGCTGCATCAGGTTAGGAGCTCTGAACAAGAGCCTTTTCTCTACATTCTTGCCTGACACCCACATACTCAATGCCTGAATCAACAAGCAGGAGGGGTTACGGTGGATCGTAGAAGAGCTATATTGGAGACACTGGCTCATTTGGCTGAAGTTCGTTCTGGGAACATCTGGAAAGTTAAAACACATAGCAGAGCAGGACTTTGTTTACAACTCGTGAGAGAGAGACAAAGAGGAGGATGCTCAGGGCGATGGATGATGCAAATTTCCTGGAGAACCAAAACAAAATCCAGCTGAGCTGAAAATCATCCAACATACTATCCATGTTAACCTGAACCAATTTCATGATAACTAAACTGCTTTAGCATGTCTATCTAGTGGGCTTTTACAGTTAGTGTGTCATTGTATAAAGTATATAATTGCTTGTTACTGACTGTGAAAGACGTGTGGCCAGTTATACAAAGCCATACTAATGGATCTCCGCCCACACATGAATATGCCAGTGTACATCTCAGCTCAATGTGCCTTGTGTGTGCCGCTCACGCTGAGTAAAATGCCTCCAGGCCGAGATAAACGGGCACGAGAGTTTTGTCTCATCGACACACACTCACAAGTTTAACCCTTAGCATTTATTTCTTATGGTGTATTTGTTGGTTTCCACACATATTTTACAGTTTAATCATATTTGTTGTGCCATGAGCAGTGGGCCGCAGGGTCCTTGTAAGTCAGTGTCAATGGAGACAGAGCGGTGCCTTATTTTTCAGGAAGGTTTTGATTAGAAACAGTCTGTCTAGGCACCCTCAGCCTGAGAGACTCACTTCCAATGTTTCTTAACCACAAAACAGCCTTGGGCTTTTCTCAATGTCACTTTTCCATCCTACAACCCCTTAAAACGAGCAATATTCTGATGCACAGCTGACCATTCTTAATAGTTCACTAATGCAAAAACATAACGAATTCACGAATATGTTGGCAATCCCATTGTACACAGTTTATAGAATATGAGCTCAGTCCTTAAATAATTGCATTATCGCTGCATTAATCTGTTTAACAGTTAAAATGTCAGTTAAAATGTCTGTTTACCAATAGTCAGTGCAAATATTAATTTATCTCATCCTCTGCATTGAGAGTAAGTTAATTAATATTGACAAGATCATTAATTGCCTTAATACTGCAGAGAAGTGTCAATTTAGTGTGTTTAGTAATCATTGGCACAGCCCCAAATGGCACATTTGATTTGTACTTGTGCTCTTGCGATGGCTGCTGCATACTTGTTAAGTCCATGAGACTGTAAAATATCCCATTTGTAATTTTGAGAACACAAAGTTCCCCTTTGCAGCATCAATGCACACTTTTGCTGGCTCCACAACAGACTACTATTCTATAGTATATGAAGGATTACAACACAAAGTGTGGACTCGGAAGAAAGCCGCAAGGGCTTATGGTGGCATTTGGGTCAGGGCCAAAGGTATCACTGCAAGAATGACATAATGTGCTCATGTGGCAAGAAAAAATCACATCAGTGCTTACTGCTCACTGGAACTTGATTCAGCTAGGTATTTCATTAGTTGCCTTTCATTAAAACAACTTAGATGGACAGTTTGCAGCTACAGTCTAGTATGTATATAGCTGATGCCCTAAACATATGACATACTTGATAATGTAAGCTTGCACATCATTAAAACACCTATTATAACACGTATTATCATAGAAAATACATGTTGCATACCCCTACTTCCTTTGTATAATTATTGGCACCAGAGCAACAATTCAATTTCCCTTTCCTAGCACGGAAAAGTTTTACTGAAGGAAGGAAGCCTTACCTATTTGATCCTCCGGGATAAGGGACTCAATTGGCGGGTCAAGCTCTGAGCTCTGCAGCAGGTAGGACTTCATCTGAGTCATGAACTGCCTGAGAGTCTGCAGCAGGTCCAAGCCTGATGTGTGGCAGCCGCGGTTCTCCTGCAAGAAGCTCACGTAGTCCTGCACCAAGCAGCCAAAGTAAGTCCCTTTATCCCTGGATTGCTCGACAATCTTCCGAATGGCTCTCTTCTCGGGCGTCATCAAAGAATTGAGAACACTGCTCATCTTGCGCAATTGTCCTCTCAATGCACGCGGCAGCACGAACGTACCAGCGCCATTCTGCTTCTTTGACTTGAAGGGTGGTGGCACCTCCTGGTCGCTCTCCAAGTTGATGCCATCATCTTCTTCCTCTTCCTCCTCCTCCAGGCTGCTGTCACCAGTGGGCCTCTTGGTTCTGGAGGGACTGGCCTCCATGGGCAGTGGGAAGCCGTGGGTGAAGTCGAGAGAGTCTGAGGATGAAGTGGAGATGCTGATATCGCTCAGACGCTCTCGTCCGGTGGAGCAGCGTTCATCTGCAGGGCTGCCGTTCTCCAGAGCGGTAGAGTTGCGTGAGGACAGCTTGGCCAAGCTCCAAGACACGGCTTCCTCAATGGTCTGGTCATCCAGGGCCATGTGGCAGCGGAGGCCGTCTGCATCGAGCAGACCGGAGGAATTCTTACTGCGGGGTGAGGGCACCAGGATGGGTTTACTAAACTTTTTGGGTGGGGAGGATGAGGGTGATAAGGAACTGAAGGATGATCCCAACCTCCCCAGAAGGCTGCTCTTTTCCTGAGGCGTTTTGATCCAACAGACTGTCTCAGGCATGGTCTTCTGTTTACGAAGAACTGCTGATCTGCCGGAGGCAAAGCGGGGAGGTGGGGGCCGAGGTGGCGGGGATCTCTCGCTCTTGGATCTACTCACACTTGCGTGTGATTTGTTTTGCGTGCTTTTTGCACGGCAAAAGATGCTGTCTTCCCTGATCTGGCGATCTGCGTTGCCCGGGGATGATTCTTGCTTTTTAGGTGAAGGGTTAGTTTGGTGTGTCTGCAGGAAGAGGGGATTGATGAAGCACAGCGCTCCGTTGGATTGACTGCATTCAAGTTCAGAAGGGGTCCGTGTGAATGGGATGGCCGGAATGCTTGGGGATAACCACTGTTTCAGTCTCTGTTGTGAAATTTCACACACAGTCTCCCCAGACACAGAAGACTTCCTCTTATTGCACAGTACAGAATCCCAGAAACCTGCATGAAGACAACACATTGAGGCTCCATTAAAAAAAACATTAAATTTTGATTGAAAAAAAATAAAGATACTAAAATTCTCAACTAAGAACTAACTATAACTTAACTATAAGACAGCTGAATCATACTTTTCACACAATCACAGAAGAGTATTACAGAACAAACAAATAAAAGAGGAAGTAATTTAAAAGAATTCCAGATATCAAGCTACAATTTCAAGTGATTGACAGAAAATCTGAAGAATATCAGCACACTCTAGGTAATGCTTCTGAAAGGCTTATCCTACAAGTTCAAGGACTGGCATACTGAACACACTAAAATAATATAGTGTGCGCAAACACAAAACCACAAAATTCCATGACAGAAACTAAGGGAAAAAACACTGAAGTGAGCAAAACAAATCCTGAAACAAATAAGAACAGGAGAATTAAACTTACGCTACTAATCTTCAAGTCTTCTCTTCAGACTGCTTGTAAATAGTTTGAGCACAAAAGTTTACACGTCTCCACTTCATGCAGCGACTCTGCTGTCTGAGTTGTGAGTGGTAGAGTAGTGCTGATACCCACACAGTGAATGGTGTGAGTCATGCATGCTGATGAGGAGGTGGGAAGAGGACAGGCACTGCAGCTCTCTGTTCCTCCTCTCTTACAGCGCACTCGTTCATACTAAACGCCACCCCTTCAAATGTTTTCATGTGATGCAATACAAGAGAGTGACTTTTCTTTGTTTCTTTGTTATGTGATCTTGCATTTTCAGAAAACGAATACTTTTTACTTTGATCATGTTCCAGTTTTTGGGAATCAACACTATAACTATAGATATCAAATATAAAAGATATAAAAATCAATAAACAACAAGGGAAGCTGTGCCCCTTAAGAATAATGTGTGAACTCATTTTACTAATAAACTGTAGCATTTTTGGAATAACGTTTAGCTTAAACAGATTGATGCATAATTTAATATATTTTTAAGGTAACGTGAAATAATTGCCAATTAAGTTTAGAACAAAACTGTTGTCAAACCAGCAGATGAAATTGTCAAAAAATGTAATTACTTGCCCAGTGTCCCAGTGGCACATGAATAATAATAATAATTGACTGGAATAAATCACACAAATGTTGATGGTCTGATTAAATATTGAAATAAAAATCATAACCATTCAATAAATGTGCTGAGACGGGATTTAGTGACATCTATGGTCATGAGGAAAACGAACATGCCCTTTTTTCTACAGACATGTTACGTTTATAAAGACAAGGAAAATATTCACATTTGTTTATTTATCAGACTCATTAATCTGAAGCGCAATATTTAACTCAAGCGATTTAAGGTGACAGTGACATATAAAGTGCTGCAATACCAAAATTGTCAAGAAAGCTAAAACAGAAATATACTGTAGGTGTGACAGGAAATCTGATCACTATAAAACTTTTTGTTTTTATTTTGTTTCTGGATAAGTCTCAGCCATCTCTTAACTGAGATAAGAGCGGGAAGTGTTTGTGTCACTCAGATCAGTTCTGCCGAAGTGACACCTGTGCAGGAGTGGCACAACTGGAAACCTCACCTGTGTTTACAATTGTACTATTCTTTTATCTCCTCTGTCTCTTTTTTCTTTCACTCTCTGTAAACAAACTTAAAACGCTACATTTTGTTTTACAGCTTTGGTCACGTTTGCTGTTATTCTCAACTATTCTCTTGTCCTCAGTTCTCATAGTCCCAGTCATTATAGTCAGTCAATGAACAGCTGGAATTTTGTCTTGGTGGAGTTTCTCTTGGAAATGATCCTAGTATGGAGGTACCACACCCGTCACTGCTCTCAGCTTTACTCTGCACGGCCATTTCAGCATTCATTACTGTCTAACCGTATTATTACAGGTAGCATTCTTTAAAAGAGAAGATACACTACCTGCCAAGACTGACTATCTGTCTCACCTATCCCATTCAGACTGCATGGTCTTCCTATGTTCCCCTCTGAGATTTCAAGTATGTAATTTCACAAAAATAAAAGATCATCCTGTTTCAAAGCTTCATCTTATTTCTCTTTTTAAAAAAAACAACAACAACGCTTAGATTAAAACGTGTCCCTAAACAAGTCATTTACTTGTTTTAGATTATGATCTATGAAAAAAAGTATTTCTAAAATAAAATGTGGAGCTTTTTACCTCAAGTCAAACCATTCCATCCACCATATAATTAAATAAAGCTACAGGGATAATTTTATTTTGTAATGAACCTCATTATCTCTGCTGAGAAACATAACCACAACAGTTTTGTGTTTAAGATTTCATACGTCTCAGTACATGAATGTTGTACCTCACATACGTCAAGTAAGGTGCAAAATTACAACATGTAGTCTGAATCAGACACAAAGCACACAGGTAGATCTCTGTTTGACAGAGACATTTACTAGCGTCAAACACATCTGTGGTCAATTTCACCTAGTCAACATCTCATCATCTTCATATGTCGGCCACATGAGGTGTTTGTTAAATGCCACGTGTCGAATGCTGTCGTGTGTTTGCTGGCACAGTAACACCTGTATAGTCAATGCTCCAGGACATATCTGACTTATGTTCTTCACAACATGCCGGATATTGTCGCACTACAAATCCAACATGTTCATCAGCATGTCTACATACAGCCTGTAAAAAACAATAAAAAAGATGGAAAGACTTACTATGTGTAAAGTTATGTTGAATTTGTTACCTTCTCTTAGTCTACCGTTTATTAGGGATGCACAAAATGCGAATATCATAATGGATATCGGCCTGTATTGGATATTTAATTGTTCATATTTCCTCAAATTACATTTAGATTTCCTTTGATGTTAACACTCACTTAAATTTAATCTTGAACAAAACACTAATAATCTAATAACTGTTAAACTGAATCTGGAGCAAACGTCAAAAAGAACATACATTAAAGAAAACAGTACAGAATTTTAATATTGGCCATTAATTGGTTATTGGCCAACATGAAAATAATTAGCAATTTATTATTATGGGCAAGAATTTAAAAATGTGTATCCCTTCTGCTGTGCATTTTGTCTTAACGTTTTAGAGTTGGGGTTTAATTGTAAAAAGAAATGCTTCAACCATGTCAAACTGCTGAATGCTCAACAACGAATAAACTGATACACTGACTGCCAATAAAACTCTGACCAGAATTTAAGATGAAATGCAAACAACATCTGCATTAGGTTTACAGTACACACACACACTCACACAGACATACAATAAACAGATAAAAAGTTGAGGGTCATTAGAGGAGTAGTTATGTTGTCTGGGTGAGTAATGCTGAAACTCACCAGTTAGCAGTTAAGCTCAGTAAAACTCTGGAAAGCAAACATTCATGCATGGGGAAGAAAACTCACCTCTTCCTAAGTGAGCCACCTCCTCCAGATCTTTAGGGGTCTTTGCAGCTGAAATGGCCTCGGGCAGCTTCAGTGTGAAGGGCAGAACGTCCCTAAAGTGAACAGATGAATGTTGAGAAATGCTAAAAACATTACAGAAATGCTTCAAAAGACTGTTAGAGTGACGACAAATACTAAAAACTAAACAGCAAGAATATCCGAGCTGAGAGTTGCTGTGTGCACTCGTGGAGAGAAGAAAAGAAAGAATGAGTCAGACTTAGAGAGAGAGAGAGAAAGAGAGAGAGAAATAGCTGTTAATCAGAGCATGTGGTTGAGTTTGGCAGAGAGAGGGCTGTGTTTATCCACTGACTTTTCTGCGTGGCATTGACACAGACCTTGCATGGATTTGTTACGTCTCACAAACCTCTTAGTTACAGAACTTAGTATATGCTTCAACCATGTCAAACTGCTGAATGCTCAACAACGAATAAACTGATACACTGACTGCCAATAAAACTCTGACCAGAATTTAAGATGAAATGCAAACAACATCTGCATTAGGTTTACAGTACACACACACACTCACACAGACATACAATAAACAGATAAAAAGTTGAGGGTCATTAGAGGAGTAGTTATGTTGTCTGGGTGAGTAATGCTGAAACTCACCAGTTAGCAGTTAAGCTCAGTAAAACTCTGGAAAGCAAACATTCATGCATGGGGAAGAAAACTCACCTCTTCCTAAGTGAGCCACCTCCTCCAGATCTTTAGGGGTCTTTGCAGCTGAAATGGCCTCAGGCAGCTTCAGTGTGAAGGGCAGAACGTCCCTAAAGTGAACAGATGAATGTTGAGAAATGCTAAAAACATTACAGAAATGCTTCAAAAGACTGTTAGAGTGACGACAAATACTAAAAACTAATCAGCAAGAATATCCGAGCTGAGAGTTGCTGTGTGCACTCGTGGAGAGAAGAAAAGAAAGAATGAGTCAGACTTAGAGAGAGAGAGAGAAAGAGAGAGAGAAATAGCTGTTAATCAGAGCATGTGGTTGAGTTTGGCAGAGAGAGGGCTGTGTTTATCCACTGACTTTTCTGCGTGGCATTGACACAGACCTTGCATGGATTTGTTACGTCTCACAAACCTCTTAGTTACAGAACTTAGTATATATGGGTGAACTCTAACTATGTAAACATGTTAAGACAGAATAACTTTATCTACATTCTGTTTTTGTTTTTTTTCCAAGCAAAAAGAGGCCACTCTAGTCAGACCCTTCCTTCCTGTTATTATCCGTGTTGGTCTTCAGCACTGGAATGCAGCTGAAACAGCATCATCTGGTTTTACTTTACCACAAACATTTTGATTTATTCTGAGAACTTCAGGAGATTTTCTGAAAGGTGATGGGTGTAATTTCCATGCACCCCAGCTCTTCCATTGGCTGGTCAAACAGACAGTCCCACCTCAAATTCACTCCATTGGTTGAATTAATATTGTTGTTTTGCGCTGAGTCTGGGATCTATGCTTGTGTAATCAATACTAGATGAGTCTTCACCAGTTTAGACTTTCTTAAGGATAAAGCAAGAATTCTCATTAATGATTAATATCTACACCAACAAAGCATAAAGATCACTCACTGTCCACCCATTTATAAATATAAAATACAACTAAACAAGCTGTTTTTGTAGACGTTTTTGTTTTTTCTGAGTGGGATCATCTTACCTGCTGATACAGCAGAACGCCACCAGTCGAAAGAGGTCTGCAAAGCTGATCCCTGAGCCCTCCAGAGAAAAAGCTGTAATAAAGACAGACACACACACACACACACACCACAGTAAGTTACACACCACAGGAATTGCTATTGGAAAAACTGAAATGACCTAACAGTCTCTCTCTAAGGGAAAAGTAAACAGAGCCAAATTTGAACATTTAAACATCCTTCACACAAGTCGCACAGGATCTGACCCACTTAACTGCATTACTGCATTGGCAGAAAGTGACAAAGACAGAGAGAAAAAATAGAGAGATGGGACTGAAGCAGAGTGCATAAACTGTGTTGATGGAGAAGAACTGATTTAATTTGAGTAGAAAAACAGCATAGCACAACTGGAGCTTGATCCATACAAATACTTCTAGTTTCACTGGGCCTCATTCATGAAACATAAGAAGAACAGATGTTTGCGTAAACTGTTGTTTAAAAAAATTTAAAAAATCAGTAAATGCAAACATATTACAAAATAATAGATTTATGAACGATTCATACATTTCATAAAAGTTCTGTTTCCAACCAAATAATCTTTTCCATATTTTCTCTTTCAGACATTAAATATGAATACTACCATTCAAACATTTGTTGTAGGAAGTTCCTCTTCCTCTTCTTGTAATTTGATCAAAATACAAGCAAAAATAGTAATATTGTGAAATATAATATTGCAATTTAAATGAAGTTGTGCTGCTCAATATGTTTGTGGAAACCATGATACTTTTTTTCAGGATTATTTGATGAATAGAAAGTTCACATAAAAACAGTATTTATTTGAAATAGAACTCTTTTATAACTTTATAAATAAAAAATGTCACTTTTGATAAATTTTATGGGGTGCTGTGTGTACATTAATGAGGAAAAAAACTTAACTTGAATGATTTTAGCAAATGGCTGCAATATTGTTAAGAGTGAAAATTTTAAGGGGGTCTGAATACTTTCCGTACCCACTGTATATAATACTGATATTCAGTACCACAGGGCTCTTATGGCCCTGTAACATGAAATGTGTCTTTGACAGAATAACAAAAAGCATAAATTAAGCTAAAACATCAAACAAACAAAGACATAGTTTATTACTAGGTCAGCCTTTACTCTGATGAGATGCATGGCTGTTCCAAATAATTAAGACAGGAAATGGACAGGTACAAAACAACCAAAAACTCCAAGCAAGAGGAAGTGAAAAAGATAACAGAGATACGCACACTATTAGTGGTCTTCTAATGGAAATAAACGTAGTATATCACTTACTATATTGGCTCTCTTTAACTGGGAAGTCCCGAACAATCAGTGTGTCACTGTCCATACGTAGGGAAATCACCTTTTTCTGCAGTTTATAACACCTCCTCACCACAAAACTCTAGACAGAACAGACACACACACATAAAACGCACTGACCATGATAAAACATAAATAACAAAAGAACCTATTGTTGTGAAGCAAGGTGGCTTTTGTCATTACCCCTGCCGGCTGCGGCTGCAAAATGCATCTGGCTTCCTCATCGCTGAGAGACAGTAGCAACCATACAGAGTGTGTCTGCATCAGTCTGTCCAGGATGCTCATGCGTCTGCGTAGAGAGTCATATCCAGAATCCCTCACTCCAGGTGTACCAGCGCAGGCAGAAGACTGAAGGAAAAGACCGCTGACCTCTCCTTCCAGACTACAGATATATACATAGAGAGAGAAACCTTTATTTCACAACAACACAAGATCAAAACCCCACTTGGTTTAAAGCAGTCGGTGGTTGTCAAATGTTTTCAGGTGGCAGATCACTTTAACATTAAAAGAAAAATTGCAGACCACCTACCACCCTCAACCTGTAAGAATGTCAAACTACTACCAATAACAGCTATATAGGGAAATATGTTTGCAATTGAAATGAACTATTTTCTGTGTTAATATACTTTAAAATGTAATTTATTCTTTTCTATTCCTCTGTGTCACATGATCCTATAAAAATCATTCTAATATGCTGATTTAGTACTCAAGAAACATTTCAGTTTTACTGATTAATATTTCTGTGAAAATGTGATACTTTTTTCAGGATTATTTGATGAATAGGTAGTTTAAGTTCAGCTGAAAGAAATTTTTTGTAACATTTTTAAATTACTTTACTGTCGTTTTTGTTTAATTTAATGCATCCTTGCTGATTAAAAGTATTAACTTCTTTAAAAAGAGTGTTCACTAGTAAATAAATCTGCATACAATGCATACATTTGCAATTTTGTAACTGTCAGTTACACTTCTGAAGTGAAACAACACAAACTAATGTGAACTTATGACCCTGTTAATGTGAACCTTCTAATTCACTGATATGAGCTAATTTATCCAATAATTAAATCAAATATAGGTGTTTGTTGTTCATTTATTATAATTATTTTGTTTATTGTGGTCTATATTTTTTATTAGCCAAGTCACAGCCCACTTGGGACTCTTTACAGATTGAGAGGAAGTAAGACCTCCTCCTAGTTTCCAAACCCACACTGATCTGTCGGTACTGTTAAAAACAAAACTACTAGACCTAAATTACAGAACTATTTTTATTATACATCGCAAGAAGTTATGTTTATGAATGCTAGAAATGTTTGTTAATTGTCTCATTATGAATGCAGGGACATCAAATGAGGAAAAAATATTTAGAGACTGAAGCTTGTTTTGGTTAAGCTGTTTTCAAACTTCTGAAAGCTGATTGTGAAACACCTGAATTTATTGTTCCTCGCACGTTCTTTAAATTTCATGGAAATGCGGTATTGCAAAAGTATTGAATGTCCTACGGCTCAAAAATAAGACATGCTCTACCTGCTGGAGAACATGGGAAGTACAATAACAAACACTGAGAATGAATCTTAAAGCTGATGCTTGTGATACTGAATACTGAACGACTACATAAACATGTACAGATTTTTTTTTCATTATAAAAATAATTCTCCTGTCACATTTTAATGCCAGATACAGCGATAACTCTATGACACTTTCAAAATATTGCTTAGTTTGCATTTTTAATCTTTTTTTATTGAAACTGTTTCTTTTCAGGTTTAAATTACATTTTCAATGTTGTCTCACACCTTCTAATCCCACTGTGCAATTGAGAACATATACAAAAACACCATGCAATATTGTAATATTGTCCTCCTTTGTAAGTTGTTTTGGATAAAAGCATGTGCTAAATGACTAAATGTAAATGTAATATAACCTATTAATGCTAGTGAGGAGGAGGATGACAGTGACGAAGGAAGGACTCACCCCTGTAAGATCTCTGTCTCCGGCTCTCTGGCTGGCTGAACCATCTCCTGCTTTAGCTCTGAGATCTCCGTGGAGAACGTGTCAATCAGCTGTAGTCACACAGAGAGAGAGAGAGAGAGAGAGAGAGAGAACACAATACAAGCGTAAAGAGCAGGAAATCTCAAGACATTCTCTGAATGTGTGCTGGTGTGTCATCGAAGTTTTGTACGAATGGGAAGTGGCTGTGTCTGGAATTAGTCATCTTGAAATTATTCCCAGTAAGCCAGCAACTGCGTCCGTTTCCTTTCAACAGCTAACAGTGAGAACAATTCAGACAAAGACATCAAAGCACAGTCTGTACATTTCCTTTGATTATTCCTAGATGAAACACTGAACCGTGGTCACTGTAAATTAAAATACACAATATCAAAAGGGAAAAAAATTCTGTTTAAGACAGGATACTAACAATTGCTGATGCTTCATTGCTAACTGCTTAAATCAGACATGAATCCTGGTGGTTTTAGGTCAGTAAATGTAAGTGCACTTGGGAAAACGGTTTTGTCATTGTCTATTTTTCACAGACCTGTGTTTCTCCTGATGGCCAGCAGGAGGCAGGTTGTTATTTTTTTCTCTCTCCCTTTTTTAATTTATTTATTTTTTTGTATTCACTGCTTGAACTTTTTATCCTGCAGAAATTCCAGTTAAGCACTACCACTATTATGCACGAATCAGTCAAGATTACAGTGAAACCTTGACCATAAACCAGACAAGTGAAGACCCGTCCACACTTTCTGTTGCCTTTCTTTTTTATCTGAGCCAGCATTTTCCGCTTGTAGTCATGAGTTATTTCTAACTTCATCTCAGACTTAGTCAGCAAACCACAATTACACACCAACTCTTGGCTCTTTTCAAAATGCAGCTTACAGCCAAGAAAAGCACTCTGTAAAGACCCGAAAGGGCTTCAGTCGCATCAAAATGCTGTAGATTATTGCTCAATGTGCTTCACACGCGAAAGGTCAAGAATTATCAAACGAACATAAAATAAACTGGCTCACTGCAATGGCTTGTTATGGCTCATTGTGCTCCATGTGTGAGTCGGGCAAGAAATACCTCAAAACAATTTTAAGCTTATCATCTAAATAAAAACACTCAGAAACAGGCATGCATGAACTTATCCTTGAACTTGTCACTGTGGCCTAATACTCTAGCAGAGTATTTACAAGTGTAAATACGAACACTCACTTTGCATTTTGATTAGCAACATATACAATCGGAAAATAACACAAAGAATATATGATTTATTGTGTGTGCATGGCATGTACAGTGCCGTTCAAAAGTGTGGGGTGTTTTTTTGTTTGTTTTTGTTTTTTTAGAAATTAATACTTCTATTTAGCAAGAATGCATTTACTTGATCAAAAATGACAATAAAGAATTACACGTTGTTACAAAATATTTTATTTCAAATAAATTCTGCTCTTTTCAACTTTCTACTAATCAAATAACCATGAAAAATGTATCACACTTTCCAAATACTTCATTTATTTACAGTTGTTACTGTATTTTAATCAAATAAATTCATCTTTGTAAGCACAAGAGACTTACAAAATGTAAATCTTTTACCGGCCACAAACCTTTATTAAGAGTACTTTTATTTATTAATGTAATATTATTTATCGTATAGTATTTATGTATTTATCAATTTATTTCTTTATTTATTTAAGATTTTTGCCACCTGTGCCTGGTTTCACCAGATTATTGGGGGGGGGGGGGTCAAATGTATATTAAAAAAAATCAGTTCTTAATTTTATACATTTATATAAAATATATAAAAGAGATTGTACAATTCTATTGGACGCTGATAGAGAAAAACAGATGATACATTTTCAACAGATTTATAAGATCACAACAAATTACTCTGAGCTAATGTCGGCCAGAATGATGACAATAGAACCACCTATCATTTACACTTAATAGACACAATCCTGCTGAGACAGAAAGAGATCTGATATAAAAATCATTCAGCTTGTGTTGATGAATTCATCCAGAAGCAGAGAATGATTTCAGCTTTACTGATGAGCCATTAAAAGAGGTGATGAAGCAGAATAAAAGGTGCTTTTTTTGCCGGCTGGACATTAGTTAGGAAATTCTGATGCCTGTGAGGTACTGGCTGGTGTTCTGAAGACTGGCGAGATCAAGAACTCTTCCAAATGCTGCAGTCATCTGTGCCTCTCTTTAACCAGCCGTGAGGTAAAGTCATTCACAGCATACAAAGCAGCCAAGACTCTAGGAAACTATGTGCTGACATTTTACTAGCATGCTTGTTTCAGCCAAACACAGCCCTAACACTGAGAGGAGTGTTTGAAATATAAACACTCAAAGTGACAGCAGCAGAGTTATTCAATTAATGGGACTGTTCACTCAAAAATCAACATTCTGTCAAATTACACACCCTCACACTATCCCAAATCCTTATATTTATTCAGTGGGAAAAAAGTTTAGTTTACATTTTAAGGAACATCTTAGTCACTCTTTTCCATATAATTAAAATAAATGATACCTGTATAATACGGTTCTCAACTACACTGTAAAAATGACCGTGAATTTAACGGTAAAAGACTGTAAAAATGCTACAGTAAAAACCTGTTAAATGGTTAACGGTAAATTCCCCTACTATATACGGTGAAAAACTGTATTGGACATTACATGTAATTATACCGTTATAATTATATAACCCAATATACCGTTTTTGGATGTGAAAAAGACCATATAATTTACAGTGAATAACCGTAAATTGACATTCCCAGAATTCCCTGCGTTACATTTCAAAATTGATGTTTTTTTTTGTTGAAATAACTATGTTTCTTCTTAGTTTTTTCTTATCAGTTTTGTATATTAGGGTTGTGTGTTACCATGATGGTTTAGCGTTTGTGTGAATGACACTGTGCACCTTTTATATGTTACTATTTAAAAGCTGCTTGTGATGGGCTTTGGTTCATCATGTGACTTTCTCATCACCACCTGCATTTGGTGGTTATCAGTGTATTACAAAGGTACAAAACAGATTTCAGTACTTCAGTAGGTTGGTATATTAACATTATATCAGTTATATAATAGTGGCCGGTTTTTATAAATTTTACAGATTTTTTTTTACAGTGTAGCTCCCCTTTGTCGAGATAATATTTGAAGGGCCTGCTATCTAAGCTTATATGTACCTCTGGTATTTCTAACAAACTCAAAAATGTATGATTAATATGATTTTGATTTAATGTTGCACATCTTAATTTTAGTTTTTTTCTGTATTTTAATTTATATTCAATTAATATTTAAATAAAAATGGTCTAAATTTAAATGAAAAGTTTGCATTACAGATTTTTTTATCTTAAATTTTTTGTATCGTATTTATATTGGATATATAATCCAATAACTTTTTATTTTTCATTCTGTATACTCCTATCATAATCTGACACTCACTAAAGTTGATCTTTAAAATCACTAATAATTAAATGGCACAGTTAAACATTATCTTTAGCAAATATCAGAATGAATATCTATTTTTCATACTGTACATTATAATGCTGTAATGCCTACATTCACTTGTATCATTTAAAACAATTGATTATATTGTTTTATTTTTTTATTCATGTCAGTCATTTATCAATTATTAGCCATAATAGGAATTGGTATCAACAAGAATTCATTGTGCATTCCTTATATCATAACATATTTTCTATAAGTCTTCTTGCCAACCTTCTTGCCAGTATTCTATTCCATATTTCATTATTTAGAAAAGAGCAGCCAGGAAATTCTTTGCGAATTCACCATCCATCCTCCACGGAAACAAGAAAGTCATACATGTTTGGGACAACATGAGGGCGAGTAAATTTTTTTGATGAACTGTTCCTTTAACAGATGACAAAGGTAAAATTCAATCTGCTCACCACATTCCACTGTAGGATCATCTAAACTGATGACAGAGGAGAGATGTTACGGGAGTGTTTTCTGTTAAGGAAACAAGGATGAATATAAATTTTTGTTCACTGACACTCATAATCTTACCATGCATTCATCACGGCCGATTAATTTCAGAGCGAAAGCCTGATTTATTTGGCTTTGGCTGCATCTGATTGTTTACATGTAACAAAGCCTGCACTTGCAACTACAACTTCCCCCTGCATGAAATAATCACAACACATGCTGGAGGGAATAGTAAGGTCAACCTGAAATAATTACATAAATATTCACACAAAAACATCTCTATGTTTGTTGGAAGAATAACTTGCAGAGATAACAACTGCATCTATCATCCTCTGAGAACCTCTTAAACTCTGCAGCTTTAGCACAGTGAACAGACAGAGCGGCATTCCACGGGGTCTCCAGAGGCCCTGACAAACCTGCGCTCTGTCTGGCTCTAAAGTAGGACGCATACTGAAAGCAAGCTCCTTAAATGATGGTGTGTTTCAGTGCATCATTTATTGCTGGTTGACACATTACTGTGTAAAATGTAAACTATAGTGCCGTTCAATCATGATGTCAATTTGTAGGCCATGTGGTCACGTGCGTTTCTGACTACCTCTGAATGTGGTTTGAGAGATTGGATCACAAAACGTTTACAACTGTATTAAGCATTAACAAATTTGGACCAACTGAGATGAACCTTAAAAGGACAGTTTATCCAAAAATGTAAATGTCATCATTTAGCCATGTCGTTCCAAACCTGTGTGTCTTTTTAATATAGAAGGCTCTGTTAGAGAAGCTCATGTGACGATAGCAGAGTACATGCAAATCTATATCCAGAACATGCAGACAGAAACACAGAAAACAAGGCAAAGCTCAGAAGTAGTGCTGTCAAACGATTAATCGCATCCAAAATAAAAGTTTTTGTTTACATAATATATGTGTGTGTATTGTGTATATTTATTATGTGTATATAAAGACAGGCACATACAGCATATATTTTGAAAATATTTACATGTATATATTTATATAAATTATATCACATATAAATGTCACATATTTTTCTTAAATATATACATGCAAGTGTGTGTATTTATATATACATAATAAATATACGCAGTACACACACATATATGTGAACCTGGACCACAAAACCAGTCATAAGGGTAAATTTTTTGAAATGGAGTTTTATACATCATCTGAAAGCTGAATAAATAAGCTTTCCATTGATGTATGATTTGTTAGGATAGAACAATATTTGGCCAAGATACAAAAATAAATCTGGAATCTGAAGGTGCAAAAAAATCCAAATACTGAGAAATTCGCCTTTAAAGTTGTCCAAATTAAGTTCTTAGCAATGCAAATTACCAATCATATATAAAGACAGGCACATACAGCATATATTTTGAAAATATTTACATGTATATATTTATATTTATATAAATTATATCACATATAAATTTAATATATAAATGTCACATATTTTTCTTAAATATATACATGCAAGTGTGTGTATTTATATATACATAATAAATATACGCAGTACACACACATATATGTGAACCTGGACCACAAAACCAGTCATAAGGGTAAATTTTTTGAAATGGAGTTTTATACATCATCTGAAAGCTGAATAAATAAGCTTTCCATTGATGTATGATTTGTTAGGATAGAACAATATTTGGCCAAGATACAAAAATAAATCTGGAATCTGAAGGTGCAAAAAAATCCAAATACTGAGAAATTCGCCTTTAAAGTTGTCCAAATTAAGTTCTTAGCAATGCAAATTACCAATCAAAAATTACATTTTGATATATTTACGGTAGGACATTTACAAAATATCTTAATGGAACATGATCTTTACTTAATTTCCTAATGATTTTTGGCATAAAAGAAAAATTGATAATTTTGACCCATACAATGTTTTTTGGCTATTGCTAAAAATATAGCCAAGCGACTTAAGACTGGTTTTATGGTTCAGGGTCACATATCATCGAAACAAAAACTTTTATTTTGGATGTGATTAATCGCGATTAATCATTTGACAGCACTACTCAGAAGCCAGTGCCGATGTGTCTCACCTTAAAAAAGCTGCTGCTCCGGTCCATGAGACAGGACTGCATCATCATCTCTGTAGACATGATTGGGTGTATGCAGCTCTTCTGTGTCAGGCTGGGTCTCTGTGGATCACAGACACATAACTTTATCTGAAGCCCAAGCAGAGGAAATCTCAACCCATTCCACACCGATAGGCCAGAGAAATAAGCATACAAGACTTATAGCAGGAGCCTGCAATACATGCACCTTAGGCACACTCTAAAGTTCATTAAAAGCCCTCTTCTCATTCAACTCATTTCCTGCCAGATGAATTAACTTGAACTACTCCCTTTATACACACAATACTGTTTTATACTGTACATACACACAGTCAAATGCTCAAACACATCTTGTCCTAGATTGCTCATAAGAAAATGTGCAGCCAATATTATCTGTTACAGCAAGGGCTACGAGTTTTACAGGTTAATTAATAATGACTGTATACTGTGTAAATTGTGTTAGCCAAGGTATTCAATTATATATATATATATATACACACACACACACACACACACACACACACACATTTGCTTAGAGATCATGGGAGAACTGGTAAAGCAAATACAGATGACAGCCTGAGTTTAAATCTTTTGTTCACCCACTTTTGTAAAGAAGTTTTCAAAACAGCCTGAGGCATAATACAGGGAGGGGGATCAGCTGGGAGACTGGCAGAGACAAAACCAGGGCAAAGGTCAAGCTGTGAAAAAGGGTGGTGGAAGAGGGAAGGTAGAGGAACATACAACATTCTAATGCACTTAATCAGCTGTGAATGTACTGCTCAGCTCAGGTAAGAATCAAAACCAGCTCCATGCACATAAAGAAACCCCTGGAAAGTAGCGTTCACCCGATAAATGTACTGATGAAAGTAGGCTATATCTCACTGATTTTAACTCCTGCTTCTCATAGCTGTATGGGATAGTTCACCCAAAAATAAATTTCTGTAATCAATTACTCACCCTCATGTTGTTTCAAAACTGTAAGATCTTTGTTCATCTTTGGAACACAAATTAAGATATTTTTAATGAAATCCGAGAGCTTTCAGACCCTGCATAGACAGCAATGTAACTGAAATTTCCCAGGCCCTATGGAGGGTCAGAAAGCTCTCAGAATGCTCTCTTTACACCTAATGCCGAGTTAGTGCCATTGCTTTCTTCTGCACAAATCGCTATGGACTCTTGTGTCCTCCAGAGCCAATTTATCAACATTGCCAAGTTCAGACTGTCCTCTGGGTGGAAGGTCCTTGAGTAAAACAAAGCCTGGAATTCAACATCTCTTTACATATTCAAAATGTATCCGTTCACTTACAGTTATTTAAATGTATCGATTTTATCAATTAAATTGATCTTTTCTTATTCTTCTTTCTCCTGTCTTGCTTTTCTTTGTTCTTTTAAGTATTATTCCTATCTTTTATCTTATTTTGTCATGTAGTTTAAAAAAAAAATATTAATAATACTAATAGCCCAGTTATTCATTTATTTTACTTTATTTACACACTTAACATCCATCTGCAAAACAACAAAGTATTATTATCATTATTGCTGTTGTTTAATAATTGTAATAGCATTCTAATGATAACATTTTAATAATAATTATTATTATTTATAGTAATTGGAATAAATTATAAATTATAAACTATTTAAATTATAGTGATTTAATAACAGTATTAAAATGTTATTTATTAATATTATTATCAATAGCTAATATATTGTTAATAATAGAATTATTATTTTATTATTTAGCTAAAATATTATTGAATAATTATATTGAATGATAAAACTATTAGAGAGAAACAAATCCCAACTGTGATGCACATAAACTAAATCTTCACCTCATTAAATGGATAGTCCACTAGGGCTGCAACAAACAACTGACGATAACTGACGATAATCCAATAATCTAATGAATATTAGAATGATTTTTTCATCGTCTCAATCGCTCTTCTCCAAATCAATCCCACAGTTCTTAGCTTCTTTTTTTTTCTCTCATTTCCTGACCAGTTGTCACGCTCAGCGGCAAGCCTCAGTACAATCCAAAGGGCACAACTCTCACAATCACCCAGCTTCTTGGAAAAAATACAGCAGCGAAAACTGAGTTGAACATTTTTATGCGTTTGTGGTGGTGGCTTTTCAGAAAATAGCTGGAGATGAAGGTGGGGTACAAGAGAAATCTGAGTGAGTTCCAGGTATTTCCTGTGAAGCGTCGTTCCTGAGCTGACAGATATAGATTGAGTGTGACATGTTAATCTACTCCTCTCTGTGAAGGGGCTTCACCTCATGTTGTTGCTGTAATGAGGCATCACAACACACATTCATCTTTCCTCGGCAGGACTCAACAACAAAAAATGTTTCTGCTTGCACTGCCAACATTACAGTCCACAGCTATATCCATAAACATACATAAGTTTGCTGTAAAATGATGACATATGATGCAAAACAAGTGACAGTTCCATCATCTGGCTCGAAACTCTCTCACAATGGCCCCAGGACATCAAGCAAACCATTGTTGAGCCCTGCTCAGTATATCAATCAGAAAAAGCAAGCTGTTATTTACCTTGCATCATCCGGTTTCTGTGCCTTTATCTGTTTTTGAAAGACTCAACAAAACACGCACACGCATACGGCTCGGTGAGTAAACAGGAAACCCCTCGGACTGCCAGCACGGGCAGAATAAACAGGCTAAGTTATTAACTGGCCACTGTGGAGAACAGACATGCAGAGAGAGAAAGTCCAGTTCAATTGGTCATTTATCTCCCTCGCCCGCTATCATCTCAATAGGGATGTCACAGCACTGGGATACATGGAAAACTAGAGTTGAAAGGAACAGCCTTTGTTAGTGTGCCATCCAAAATGTCAACAACTGCAAACAACACAAGATTAGAGGCAAACTTTTATCCTTTTTCCATCAAAGCAGGGTAATTTGTTATTGCGTGCTGGCTTGTACCTTTGCACAAAATGTTCAGCATGCCAGTTTGTGTATATATATATATATATATATATATGTGTGTGTGTGTGTGTGTGTGTGTGGATGTAAAAGACCAATGAGCTGGGCTGTTTGGACCCACACAAAGGCACATCTGAACTACGAAGCACAGAGCGACTCTGTGTCCTGCACACACACGCACACATAACAGGTGCGTGGTAGCAGAGAGGATTTTCTGTAGTCTGGAGAGACCTGGCAGGGCTTGACAGGAAATGGAGCTTGCAAGCAATTAAAGGGGCTGAGCCATAAACAAAGAGAACAAATATAACAAGAATGTGAAACACGGCTCAGTATTTCTGGGATTCTTATCCTGGGCTGATGTAAACACAAAACAAGAACTCTGAGTGCAGCGCATCTTAATATAAGCTATGTAGTATAAGCTAAATATGTTTTTAGGACAAAACAAGATGCCACTCTTAAAAAAAAAACCTTGCCAAAACACTGACAGCCTTGGAAATTGCAGGAGAACAGTGCAGCATGACTGAGAAACAAATCCAAATGTGACTCAGACAAACAAAATCCACATTTCATTAAAGGGATAGTTTGCCAAATGATAATAATTTTTGTAAAGGTTTCTTGTATTGTATATCTGTACAAGCCAACCATTTGTGTTTTCTTGTGATTATACATTTACTCTATGCTACTTCTTGTGCAATAATAATGCACCATATATTTACACTACTATTCAAATCTGTCAGATTTTCTAATGTTTTGTAAGAAGTCTCTTATGCTTATCAAGTCAGTATTCATTTGATGAAAAATACAGAAAAACATTATTACAATTTAAATGAACTGTTTTCTATTTATTCATCTGATGGCAAAGTTCAAATCAGTGTCAAATGCTCCTTCGGAAATCATAATTTGGTGCTCAAGAATTATTTATTTTCATTATCAGTGTTAATATTTTTGTGAAAACCTTGAATTTTTTTTATTCAATTCAAGACTTTGTTGTCATATACAGGAAACTGTCAGTTACACCGTGACCATACAATTAAATTCTTACTCCTCGTGAATCCTCTCAGCAGCCAATGACATAAGTTAACAAAGGACACAATACATAAACTACAAATTTACAATGACAAAATTACTAAAATTACAAGATTACTAATAGTGCAGAAAGCAAGAAACTAAATTATTGCATGTATAAAATTATTGCATGGTTAATAAATTGTTCAAAAGAACAGCACTGATTTAAAACAGAAATCTTTAGTAACAACTGTCTTTTTTGTCAAAAATTACATTTTTGATAAACAAAAGTTTTAATTTCTAAGTATTTTTCTTTAAGTTTCTAATCAATGTTTTGTGCACCAGAAACAGACATATTTTCCATCCTTTCTCAAGACTGACATAAATGCCCTCTGATTGGCTAACCTATTCGCATGTTTGATGAGAAACAGCATTTACAGTATACTTTCATGTTAGTGTTCAACAGTGTTTTGCAATCAAAGTGAATCCGTATATGCATTTAGCAATTGAGCAATGGGCTTTTTACCCATTCCAGTTAATGTAACCAACAGAGGAAGTCAGTGTGTTACTGAATGACGTAGTCTTTCCAGTCCGGTTGGACTGGAAATGTGTTGCTTTAGACTCAAAGTGTGATTCACAGCTAATGAAACCAGATGTGCTGTTTGTATAGGTTAGGAAGTTTGTATTGAAGAAATCTTGTGAGTAATATTAAACAGCAAACAAATTAAAGTCTAAACAAAAGTCAACAATAAAATATGTCCACACATGCAGTGCAGAGGAGTTTATAAATCACCCAAAAATGACTTTAATCATAAGTATGCTAAATGATTTAATTTCCCTTGAGTTTCCTATATTCTTCTGAGAGAATTTTACAGCTGACTTAATTGTTAACATATCTACAATATATGTTCAAGACCATAACTAGGACATTTCGCACACACATTCAAAGAATTATACTAATAAATCATCCTCAAGTCTGATGCAGTGGTTAGACAGAATGTGAGAAGGGGAAGGGAGAGGAAAAAGACACTGGGTTTCTATTGGATAATGAAGTCGTCTGGCACTGTGTTAAGACCCTGCTGCTATATGGCCCTCCACCTCCCAAAAACCCGTCTGGAAAAATTCCAGCTCTGCTCAAAGCCTGTAGAGAGCTCTACCCGCCCATCGGGGATTGCAGCCTTGAGGGACAACAACAGTTAAAATCTTCACACGCTACAGTCATCTCTGCTTCAGAAACAACATCAACATATTTTATTTGATTCCCTCAAAAATGCCTGAGTTTGTGCCTTTTCAAATGGGGTTTTAGGTAACATACATTGATAGATCCAGCTGTTAGATCCAGTCTCTCTTCCATTGGAGTGACTCTCATCAGTTTTGTGGTCTGTTTACAACCCAAATGATGTCTCGTTGCACAACCATGCAAAGCCATTTTAATAAAATATGACATATAAACTCACACCTAGATTAGATTTGTTTGTTGTGTCAGTTGTGGTAAAACTTTTCTGTTGTTATGCTGACACCATCTTTGATATTTACTTTAACCACTATCACTATGGTTACAGGCATTATCCACAGTTACTGCAAACACAGAATAGTCCAATTAAACTGCCCGGTATTTTTATCACTCTTGTGTTGTTGTTGGGATGTTACTGTCAGTTTTGCATCACTGAAACATTTACTCAACCAATTCAGCCAACCATATTGATTTATTTAGAAATGGGACTCTTTATGATTGATTCATCACACTTACGATGTTACAGAGCAAAAAGGACCCGGCCTCAAAAAATTGCTTATAAATCACTCATTATCACAATAGTGTGCTTTAATGCTTAATCAGGGAGTTTGTTTTGAAAGGCTTTTATTTTGTACAAAATGGCACAAAGTCACACTTGTGGTGTTCCCGGTCAAAAATGACCCGGCCTCAAAAAAATGCTTATAAATCACTCATTATGCTATATTATCACCAAAGATTGGATTCAATCTTTTTGACAAATTATTTTCTTTCATTTAGGACTGGTTTTGTATTTATATTTGCATCTTATTAAGCGTAGGCCTCATTTATCTGAAAGTAGGCACCTCGTTTTTTGAGTGAAAAAAGGATTATTTATGAATAATTTTCACAATATTAAATAAAATGTGGAGAAAATGTGTACTGTTTATCACACTAGTGTACTTTAATGCTTAATCAGGGAGTTTGTTTTGAAAGGCTTTTATTTTGTACAAAATGGTACAAAGTCACACTTGTGGTGTTCCCGGTCAAAAATGACTGGCCATTCAGAGTGAATGGGAAAGATCACTAGTGTAAGCACACTAGTGTGCTAAACAGTGCAAATTTTCTTCAGTTTTTATTTAATATTGTGAAAATTATTCATAAAATAATGCTTTTTTCACTCAAAAAATGAGGTGCCTACTCTCAGATAAATGAGGCCTACGATTAATCAGAAGCAAATATAAATACAAAACCAGTCCTAAATGAAAGATAAGAAGTTGACAAAAAGATTGAATCCAATCTTTGTTGATAATATAGCATAATGACTGATTTATAAGCATTTTTTTGAGGCCGGGACATTTTTGCCCTGGAACATCACAAGGTGAAAAATCTCCCTCAGAAAAGTATGAAAATTATCCAAAGTTTTTTTTTAGAAGTAATTATACCCTTTCAGTCCAATGCGATAACATTAACTAGTATTTTCGGGATAAATAAAAAAATTTCAGAGCAAAAAGGACCCGAACACCACATTTGGGTTAAACATTTACTCAAACATTTTGTTCAAACAATAATTCATTCAGAAATTAAATAAGTGACGAGTCATTGAATCATTTGCTCAACTGATTCACTCAAACGCACTCGCTCATTCAGAAACAAAACTAATGGCAAGTAACTGAATCATTTACTGACCGATTTGTTCATGCTCACTGACAAAGATGCCAAAAACAGAGTTTGGTCAACTCTTACCAACTGTTTTTGAAACACTGAAATGTCTGATCTCCATAGTAAAGTGATTGACACACAAGTAAATTACACTTTCTTGCAATACCCCTCAGAATCCAGAGTCAAATGTACTAAAACCATTTATGCAGTTTCAGAATGCACAACTTAAAAAAGAAAAATAAATAAATAAATAAAAAATCCGGAAGACCTGAAATCTGTTCATTCAAGTTAAAGTGTTTTTTAAGCTCAGTCTCCTGCTGCTGTGACTGTAAGGATTGCGGAGAGACTCGGAAAGGCTCAGAAAAATGACATTAACAGGCACAGCTGCAAAAGCAGGCAAAACAGTGACAAAACACACTCAAAATAGCCTTTCGTTACCACAGACCAACAAACCCAAACCATCTGAATGCCACTGGCCAGACTTCATAAGTGAAGGCTAAAAGATGACCATTTAAACCTGATTAAATACATGCACTGCCTCTCAATATTTCATCTCAACCATATCTAGGCCTACTCACAACATGGGATGGGTGTGATCCCCAGATCCCCAGACAAGAGAAGCACTTAAACACACATTCAGAGGGAGCAGGCAGAGGCCAGTGCACTACAGGATGTGGCCAGCTCCACCCCACATAGCATGTCCCAGAGCAATAACCAGACAAAATGAGGATCAAACAATGATTTTTATACATGTGCTGACAAATTCCAGACTCATATATCGGGCTGTTCTTGCATTTAAGTGCTTAGTCCACATCTTTCATTCGGGTTCATCAAGTTTCCTTTCCTCTGCTGCCCTGAATCTGGCTCCAAACACACCTTTTTGATCTACTTAAAAGTTTCCTACTCCTCAGAACTTACCCTTTCTCTCTCTCTCCATTTCCTAGTTTCTGTGTCTCTCATTCAGACGGTGCAGTGGGAAGCGTGAGGTGATTCCGTGGGAAAGGCTCTTGGCAGACTGGCAGCTTCCTGACTGCAAGAGCTGATATCATTTCTAGAGTGCTGGACTGGATACCGGATGATCTTCCGAAAAAGAAAACAATTGCTTCATCTTGCCCATCACGCTATTATTATCCTTCTCATTGTCTTCAGAAAAGGTCTGAAGCAGGTTGTCATGATAAGAAGAGGTTTTGAGTGCCATCTTCAATCCAGTCCATGTTTATGTTTAAGTCCAAATTTCTTTGGTTTCCATAAAACATAACCCCTCCCGACCAAAACAACAAACCTGTTTGAAGGTTTTTAAATACCAAAATAGCAACGCTGAAGAAACAAAACAAGTTTTCTTTGCTAAAGCTGGATTCCAGCCACATCACATCATCCAAAACTCTGAGATATGAGGATGTAGACATTTACAAAAGAATTTGACGGATGTCAAACTCATATTTTTGTAAAGCACTGAAACCATCCATAAAAAGTAATTTGAGCTATAAAGTTGTAATATCTGTGAGCATTGCCAGTATATCAACAAAGATGTGATGTCATGCCTTCAGGTACAGAAAGATAGCAGAAAGCTGTTGATTAAATTGTTTCTGGCTGTTTTTTTGGTCATAAATGTGTAGGTAAGTTGCTTTTTAAGGGGTAAGTCCAAATTATTTTCTGTGATAATTCACATTATGCCACAAAAGCTGTTGCTTTAGCTTAACTGCATTGAAGCTGAAACATTCCTTTAAGAGAAAATGAGGTCTGCATGTGCTGAATACAGTCTCACTTCAGTGGGGAAGACAGATAAACCATTAGATTTCGCTCATATAAATCACACTTAAGCAGCAAACATGTGAAGCCGGCTCCCCTTACCTAATCTGTTCGCTTCCCTTTACTTTAACGTATCACTTCCTGGTCTTCGTTCATCAAGAATTCCTCCATTATTTAGCATGTCACTATTCCTACAGAAAATAAAGTGAAGATAAAAGAAGTTTTTAGCCTTTTCACTACATTTTCAGATGCGCACAGCCAGGCAAAATTGGGTAAAATTGGAATGCAAGTGAAGGTTTTTTTTTTTGTTGGTTTTTATTGTGATGGGAAGATATAGTCAGCATTATCTGCTTCAAAACAGGCTTTAGTCCCAATGGGTCTCAGTGTTTTAAATATTTGAGGTTTGCTCTGTGTTTGAACCTCCAATTGGCCCACAAAATGTAAACAAGGCAAAAAATATTCAGTGTGGACACAAGAGTTTGGGGTCGGTAGGATTATACTCATCAAAGCTGCATTTATTTGATCAAAACACAATAAAAACTAGTAATACGGTGGAATAAAAAAAACAACAATTAAAAACAAAATGTTCTATTTCAGTTTATTTGTGTCTGCAATCTGATAGCAGCTATTACTCCAGTCTTCAGAGTCACATGATCCTTCAGAATTCACTATAATCAGTATAATATGCTGTTTTTGTGCTTAAGAAACATTTCTTATTTATGATCAATGTAGAAAACAGCCAGTGCTTATTTTTTGAGAAAATCAGAAAAAAATATTTAATTATTTGAAAATATTTATTCTTTTGTAACATTACAAAACTTTTGCTGTCACTTTTGATCAATAAAACGGATTTTTTTTTTTTTTTTTAATCTTATCAAACTTTTGAATGGTAGTCTATTACAAGGGAACAGAGACAAGGTGAATAACTGAAAGGAAACAACGAGCAAGGAAGTGTTTAAAGTAAAAAATATTAAAACTATGTGCAGTTTGACACTACATAGTATCACTCTGTGTGAGTCTTTGGCTTGTTTTTCAATTATGCGGTTAAACTAAATATGATATCTCTTTACCTCATTATATCTCTCACTTTGCATTCATTGCTCTGATCGGCTGACCATAAGAGATCACATTTCATTTCAAAATTGTCAAGCTATTTAATCATATACCCACCACATTCACTGAAATCAGTGTAACAACCATCAATACTGTCAGCAGACACTAAAATTATGATGACAAATTACAGTACACGGAATTACCATAATGAAGACACCTCAGTCACGGCTGACACCTCAGCATTTGATGAGCGCTCAGTGGTCACAATTCCAGCAAACCGCATGCGGCTTAAATAAAGTAAATATGACTGCTATGTAGAGTAATGAAATGGATCAAAACATTCTCTTCCAAACTAATCCAATACCAGTCACTGCACAACACTACAATTCTTGTCAAATGACGCATGTTCTGGGCAGGTTACTTCCCTTTGCCTGAGACTAATCCTCTTAACAGGCCTCAGAGCCACTGCTGAAATATTGGTGGGGAAGAAACGAAAAATCTGGTGGGACGATTTTTAGAAAAAAATTTAGTGATGAATGCAATCAATTTGTATGACAGCAATAAAAGAGAACTGATGCATAAAGCACAAGTGGTGGATAAGTAAGCACACTCACTATATCACAAGGACTTTCCATTGACTTGAAAATGTATAAAATAATATTAATAACAACTTTTTACATTTCGAATACAGTTCTACCTTGCCGGTTGCACCGTGCTCTTCTGTCACTTCATCTTTTTATTTTGGTGTGCCACTGAGGAAGGCTTTGAGCCGAAACGTTTGTGTCTTTTCCCATCAACGATGAATGTAAAATAAAAACGAAAAAAGACGACTGTTTTCGTGAGTGTGGATCATGATCTCCTATATTACATTTTGATTACGCCATTAACCTATTTTCCTCAAAGGAGCTGTTAATTTTTTATTGTCCAGAGACAACCAAGTTTTAGGAGATGCCAAAATTTGGCAAACATTTTACAACAACCTGTTCTGATGTAATTAACTCTTCAAAAAATCTTGAAATCATCGTGTACTGGTTATGAGGATCGCGGTGAAGCTACTAACTTGTCCCCTACAATAAGTTTACTTCCCTCTCTTTTAGAGTTCACAAAGTGAAATTTTGCATTAAAACTTATACTAATACAAAAACACTGTTCAGTGCTGTACTACAGCTTTTCTTTTTCTTGGGGACATAATTAACATACATACCATTCACCTAAGAAATAAATGAATGTGTTTCAAAACCTAAGCTGACTCATATTCATTACAACCTTGTGGGTATATCGATAAAGTCTAGACATATACTGTAGCTCGGGAGGTTTTATAGATCTTGACAAATTGGACTTTCCTTGACATCATCCTTACAACTTTCAAAACATCATGAAGACATTCAACAACATAACATCACATTACATGTACGTTTCCTATAGACCATTTTTAACCAGAGAAACCTGCATAACACAATTACCGGCTGACAACAATAACAGTTTTGCTTCTTGTCCACAAAGCAAGTGGTAGTTACTAAAAAGAAGTCACCAAAGTATCAAACTAGCCTTACTGGTGTTAACCCAGCAGATTTAAAACACCATTACTATCACGAGTAATTAAGTGTTTATAAAATATAACTACAAAACAAACAAAAAAACGTCTAATATATGCTCCAAACTGTTGTAACAACAAATTGAAGATTTTTTTTAAATGATTATTTTAACAAGTAACACACAAAAAGAAGAAACGTTTAAAATGCATTTAAGACTAAGCTGACTTACACATATAAACAGTGTGTGGGACTCACCTCGACGGGTCGAAACCAAAACACCCGCTAGCAAAAGCGCAGTTACGCATTTATAAGAACTGGATGATCTTCCTCCAAAGGCTCAGTTGATGTTAACAGTTTTAGATGTTCTTACACGACCGAGTCGAGGTTGCTTGCTTCCTTGTACTTCGCAAGAAAGACTCATAGCTGTGTTAAAGCATGCGACCTCTCCTGGCAAAAACAAACTCCAGGAGAACAAAAGTTGATGTGCATTAAGTTTCACGTCACGTGTTCCAGTCGGGAATGTCTTTGGAAGGGAAAAGCCTTTGTTAGACCCACCAACCACTGATGTTACTCAGAGAGGAACATGAAAGAACCGGAAAGACATGCAGTGGAAAACTATGGAGGGCCAAAGCTGCACAAATCGAAACAATTAAGTAAATGACCGGTGGTCTAAATATCTCTCAAATTTCACTTCCTTGAATCATTTATTAAAGCAAAGAAACCAAAGCAAAAAATACCAAAACAACACTTGTTTTTATTATATACGTGATATTACAAACATTCTGTTAACTGTCATTACCAATCAAATTGTAATTTTGTCAAATTATGCATATAAGGCGTTATGTATTCTAGTATTTAGGATACAAAAAATACAAGCTGTAAAATTAGCTGTAAGAGTCTGACATTTTCTTAAATCTATGTTAATATGCCATTTCCATAGTAGAATGCGATGAAACAGTACATTGTTTGAGATATGATGGAAATTACACTACAGGCTATGACAAATTCCCATATACTCTTCAACCATGTTGATTAAAAAATTAAACACTATAGTGATAGTTAAAAAAAAAAAAGACTTGGGACTTGAAGGAAGATTATGTTAGATCATCTTGTACTTTTCTAACATTAAGTAAATTGAAAGTAAAAGTGTCACATAAATTGAAAATAGTGGCTCAATAAACATGAAACACTCAAGTAACACAAATTCCATATACTCTTCAACCATGTTGATTAAAAAATTAAACACTATAGTGATAGTTAAAAAAAAAAAGACTTGGGACTTGAAGGAAGATTATGTTAGATCATCTTGTACTTTTCTAACATTAAGTAAATTGAAAGTAAAAGTGTCACATAAATTGAAAATAGTGGCTCAATAAACATGAAACACTCAAGTAACACAAATGAATTCACCACAGAAAAAGTTCATGGATAAAAAGTTTTTAATGTGTTTTTATATATGCCAGGAAGCAAGAGTTGTTAGAAAACTGTTGGAAAATGGTCCACATTAACAAAGATACCAAGTGAGTAAGTGCATTTAGCTACGTTATTGAGAAAAGTCATTAAATTACATTTGAGAAATTTCTTTTTTCTACAGCAATCTCACATTTTCTGTGACACTTATTAACTCTTTAATGTTTGAAATTTGTAACTCTGATGTCTATTTATTGTCATAACATAATGGCACAAAACCACCCAAAGCAGTCTTAATTTCCAATTTGCAAAATGTATTGCAAAATGTAAAATTTTTTAAATGGAAATATACTGCCATCAGCGTTTAAAACGACACATTTTAAAATATAATTAAAACTAAATTACACGGGGTAAAAGATTCATTATAACAGAATTATTTACATTTACCCATTACTTTTTAAAGATTAATGCTGTAATTTGAAAATCTGCAAATTATTCTCGTAACAGTAGTATATTTTAACAAAGAAAACAAAGCAAATATTATAACAGAAAGAATGTAATATGGCAAAAAAGAAACATAATTTGAAAGCCAATCCTTCACACTCTTGTCATTTCTTCATTCACTGATTTCACTTTACTTGTCTTTGGACATTTAGTCATACAACACAGTGTAATTATATTGTCACCTGAATCTCCCCAGAATCCAGCTGGTTATGGTTAAGCTGGTTATGATCCTCCACAGTACTGTCATATTTGGGACAGACGAACTCAACAGGTTTCCAATGCGGTCTTCGTCCACTTCCTCTTTGTCGGAAAGGGGCAAACCGCAACCATTTCTTGACTACATCAGCAAACTGGTGGTGCGTGGCCTCCTTTCCTACAGGTGTCCTTTTCAAGGCACCTGCAGAAAATGGGGTTAAAACAATCTATCACATGGGAAATGTTGAGGATCCTAAAAAGTCAGTGATAAACCTGAAGATGCATCTGCACTGAGACATGATTTTAAAGTCTGCTTACGAAACAAAACACCCTGCAGTCTGGTGTTTCTGAAGCTCCTTTTCTGTCCTCTGCCAACCCAGTTGAGCTCTGAGCCCACACTGAAAGAGAGAACAGCGTGCATAAGACGCCGGACCGCATCATCTACTGTAGCTCCGCCCATCCGTGAGAGGTGTGACACCTATGGAAAAATCAAAAAATGAATAAATACTCAGTACAAATACAGGAGGGGACAACGTAACGTCTAGGTTACTTGTGTAACCCTCGTTCCCTGAAGGAGGGAACGGAGACGTTACGTCAGGGGAACCAAGTCCGACTGGGCCAATATGGCGCTACCAAGAGGACCTGCTCTTCGTCCTCCCTGACCTTGCACAGTGTCTGTGCGAGAAGGCTCACTGGGGGAAACGCATATTTGCATAGGCCCCGAGGCCAGCTGCACGCCACTGCGTCCGTGCCGAGGGGTCCCTCGGCCAGGGAGTAAAAGAACTGGCAATGGGACGTGTCTGGGGAGGCGTTAACACTCGAAGGGGATTGGGCTCTCGGGCAAGATCCCAATTCGTCAGTCACTGACGTAACGTAGAACGTGACTGACTGAATGGGAACCAGAAAAGTTTTGTAGAAAGAAATATAAAACTAGAACCACAAGCAAACAATATTGTTCTAAACTATTATTTTGGACTACACAACTACCTCCATAAAATGTAAACTTCCTGTCCTGACTGAGGCTTACAAAGTAACATAACCTATTATTACATGCACTGCAGTAATTGTAGATTGTGGAGTAGATTGACAGTAATGATTTTTTACCATTCTTTTCTGAGCTTCAGTATCCTCTAAATGCTGCTCTGTTTCATCAAGCTGTTCCATTGTTCGTAGTGGCAGATCTACGTCAAGCGGCTCATCCTCCTCTTCACACACCTGTCCACGAATCCTGGCCTGCAGGTCTTTCAGAACTTCCCACTGCCTCTGTTGCTCCTCCTTGATCTCAATAAGGAGTGATAGGATTTGTCTATGGGCTGCTGTCTCTGTAATTGTATGAAATGTATATTAAGTGAAGACTTACAGAAGGTTAAAGGAATAGTTCACCCAAAAATAAAAATTTGCTTTAAATTTACTCCAGGATGTAGATGAGTTTGCTGGATTATTTTGATGTTTTTATCAGCTGTTTTAGCTCTCATTCTGACGGCACCCATTCACTGCAGTGGATCATTTGCGAGCAACTGATGTAATGTTACATTTCTCCAAATCTGTTCCAGTGAAGACTTAACCACAACTTCCTGAGTGCAAGTACGGTTTAATTTAGCACATTTTAATTTGTGTGTTTACTACTGTTTGAAAAATCAGCATTCACATCAAAACTGCTGCGTCAGTTTCATTTGTGGAAAAAAAATATTGCCAATAATAATAAAGGTGGTGGCTTGTTTACTAAATAACTTTAGTGATAACGGTCAAAGGGTTTTATTAATATTGATTTTTTTAACATTGTGCTTTTATCATATTTTATCTAAATAAATAACCAAATGACCCGAGTTGTTTAGCACACCAAGTTAACTTTGTAAAAACTATGCAAGTTGGCAATTTTATGTTAAAACAAAATAAGATAATACCTAATCAACTGTCAACTACCAACTAATAATACCTATATCAAAAAACTTAAAATCTCAATGCAAAAGACATTTTTTAACAAGACAAAGTTCCATAATGATAGAAGGAAAGGGATGTGCAAGTCCGTTTCAATGTAAACATAACCATTTGTACTCTTTTCACTTCCCAGTACCTGGTGTTGAAGACGCATCCTCGCGCATTAACTTTCCCGCCACTCCTGCAGGATTGAAGGACTGTGAATCCGCGCTGAAATGCACCTCGGCCCGCCCAGGGATGTCTTCTGCGCGTCTGCTCAAGTCTCCTGGCAGAGGGTGCATATCCTCCTCAGACACCGCTGAGCGTCTCTTTGCCATGTCTGCCATGTGTTTACTTACTAAACCCTCCGCCCGGCGGTTTATGGCCCAGTTCACGCTACTGACACTGTTTGGGTCCATTTATATGGATGTACTTACAAACAACACTTCATGCGAAATTTAATCTCTTAACATGCATCTCTTAATAAACACTGCGATATGTACGAGAAATAGGCGGAAACGGTTATCAAACAGTCCCCAGCCAGCGCACGTACCACGTTACGCAAACGTCACAGAAACGTTGGCAGAATGTTGGGAGTTTTGAATGAACTACAATTCCCAGAAGCATAGCGGGCTGGTGACGTCACCCATTGCTCACACGTAAATTGACCTAAATCTCATTTTTGACAGAAGTACATCTCTTATAAGAGTCTTTGCAAATGATTACCCATAAAAGATTATCATTTTTGCTGATAACTACTAATATAATTAATCATTTTCATTTGATTTAGTTCTTTGTGCAATATGGATATGAAAAGCTAAAAAATAAAGAATGAAATAAATTAACCCTGTAAATATGAATAAAAATAAAAAAATCATTAATGTGATATTGAGTTGTAAAGTTAAAGATTAATAGCCTACATTTAAACCGTAGTAGATTAAGTTAAAACTAGTTTCGAAATGCATTATAAATTAAAGGCAGCTCTTTCCTGTCTCTTACATACTCACTGAGATCCATGCTTTTATTTCAGTGTTTTAAAAATTGACCAAGGAGCTGTAGCCAAATAGGCTATGTTATTTGAGATGTATTTGGCTATATTATATATAGGCTATTTATACTCATGTAATTGATTCATTTATTGATTAGTCATTTATATTATATTATTTTGTCTTATACTATTTTTACATTGCTGTTTAGTCTTATGATTGTGTGGGTTCAGGGGAAATGTGTATTCACGTCACGAGTAAGAGATAAGAGAATGTCTTCATTTCAAGGTTGTGAAGCAGTGATTTTCCATTGCTATTTCTTGTGATATAATAACACTTGTTGGATTGGTGTTGGTCAGATGAAGTCTGAGCATTGAAACGTACCTAAGATTATTTATACACTCTGCTTCTTTTTTTATTACCATACTTCATCTCCTGCTTCTGCTCTTCTCTGGCTTTACTCATGTCAACTTCTTGGCTGATAGAAGACAATATGTTTTTGGGTATTAGACAACTTTGCTGAGTTGTTCTGTTAAGATAAAACGGATATTTTCTAGTGTGGATCTGATATTTCTGGCATGGAGGCATGATCTAACAATATTTAGCTTTAAATCTACTGATATCACCAGGATTGTGTAAGGGTTAGGGGTACATTCGACATTTAGGAAATATGATCATAAATAAAGAAATTGCATTTATGCCTTTATACAGTGAAGCCAACATGTGTATTTACACTATATTATAGCTGAAATGACAACAAGGGAACAATAGTGTTTACCTCAGCAAAGATCATTTTTATTATGCTCAAGTAGCAAAAATGTACTCTAATATACAACTGAAACACCTGAACAAAATATTTTAGTACATAAAGCCAACCACCATTCTTTTTATGACTCCTGAAATGCAGAAGACATCAGTTACTTTGAATGAAATATCTACTTTATGCTTTCATTGGAGAATCAAAAGCCCAGCAGTTTTCCATTGGAAAAAAAAAGAAAACAAAGAAAACATGCAATAATCTAAGAGGTCTAATTCCACTGCTGTCCGTCCAGTGCTCAACAATGTGTAATAGTAATGAACATAAATAACTCCTTATATTATAATATCCCATGCGATTTAGCAAACCAAGGGTGTTTAATCAAACCCTCAACACAACAACAACAAAATTAAAATAAACAAATAAAGGACCCACACATTGTACAGTATCTACTGTGTGAAAATATAGTCAACAGATATACAGGCAAAGACAAAAATATGAAGACATTTTCATGTATGTATAATTATGTACATCAGCAATGCAACACCCTGTAAAAGTCACATTTTTTATTCAAATATTCCTGAATCCATGAAGAAATATCAACAGACAAGAAAAGGAAATCTGAGGGAAACTTGTCTAATTATGGGCTAATTGGTTGTGCATTCCCTCATCATTATTATTATTATTATTATTATTATTATATTTGTGCATATAAATGAACAGCAGCACTTTGATTTCCAGAAGTGATGATGACCAAATAGCATTTATCAGTATGTTAAAATCATCACAGATATACAGGCAAAGACAAAAATATGAAGACATTTTCATGTATGTATAATTATGTACATCAGCAATGCAACACCCTGTAAAAGTCACATTTTTTATTCAAATATTCCTGAATCCATGAAGAAATATCAACAGACAAGAAAAGGAAATCTGAGGGAAACTTGTCTAATTATGGGCTAATTGGTTGTGCATTCCCTCATTATTATTATTATTATTATTATTATTATATTTGTGCATATAAATGAACAGCAGCACTTTGATTTCCAGAAGTGATGATGACCAAATAGCATTTATCAGTATGTTAAAATCATTGAATCTTTAGTATGGCTGATTTTGCAACCATAAACATAGGCATTAATGTCCCACAATTTGTAAGCAGCAGTATTCATAGATATTGGAGCATTTTGCAGTGAAAGCCAATTTTGTTGCATCTCAAAGCCTCTTTTTACTATCCTTAATATTGAGCATAGAGTGCACAACCTCTATTAAATCTTACTGAAATATTTACGTAACATATGTATATGATTCAACGAATGTGATGTGCCATATTTAGGATTTACAAGAAAAAATGCAAACACAGTAATTAATTAAATCTAAACGTTATTGCATTTCATGAACAAAACTTTCATTAAACCCTGCCTTCCGGATGTCTTTCTTATAATACCCTGCTTTTCAAAAAAGAAATTATAGACTAACAATCTTTAGCATCCAAACACAGCTTGTATGCTCTACTTGGATTACACCTAGCTTATATTTATCAGGAATGTCACATTGCTTAAACCCTAGACCTGCTGTTGCATTTTTGGAAAGTAAACTAGGCCTCAATGTCTACTATGAGTGATACAGAAAACCAAATGTTCATATTTGCTAATATATTCTGTCAAACTGGGGACAAATTATCTTTTTTTTTGTTTTTACATTGTTGAAACGAATGCCCTACAAAGTGTGACCTTTGATTTTAAACATGCTAAAAGTACTCTGACAGTAAACTGACAAATTAGTTTTATGCTCTAAAGAATATGCAGATTCACTTGAAGCACACTCTACAGACTTTTAAAAGCAGAAAACATTTCTAAACATTTTGCATTACAAAATACAAAAATACTTTGCCGCAATACTCTTCCAGATATGTTTCTTAGTCATCTAAATTCTATTCTTAAAATATGACAAACAATTAGACACCCAGTATCAACCAGTGCATAAAACACAATTTCCCTGCAATGTGCCTTCAGACTAGAAAACCTGCATGAAGTTGCTAACTAGACTAAAACAGTCCATAGAATCGCTTCTTTGTCAGCTCACTAAAAAATCTCCGTTAGCAGAAAAAGTCCACGCATCCACATAATGTGCCACAGTTAAAAGCTTACAGCTGTGATACATTATGGCGGTGTCTTTTTCAAATCCTCAGAACCAGAGGCATACAAAACAAAGTATTTATATAGTCCTTCTAAAAGAAGGGCAAGAAATAAGCCCAGGACACAACAACATAAAGAACTCCTGAAAAATCCATAGTTTTAACTGCATCCTTGGAAATGAATTCTGATCCTTGACCTGCTGAGAGGATTTCTTCCAAAATTCCTGGATAAACTCTAAGATTAGAGCAGCATGCTGAGAGAAAAATTACTTGACCTCTTCTAGAGCATCTACGGTTTGACTTTGAAACAGTCTTAACAATGTTAGCTTCATTTTACCAGGACACTTTCCTGCTAATCAGCTACTTAGGTTTGTGGCTCACTCACTCCATTCACTCTAAAAAGGGAATGGACCGATCTTAAATGTCAAAACAGTTAAGTATAAAATGTATATCTATCTATATATCTTCCCTTACTTGCCTGCCAAAGTTTTAAGTGTGTTCAAAAAATCTTTAATTACCTCTGTCATGTCACACCGATATCAAATAGTAGAAACTGTTTTACGCATCAAGTCAAAGGTGCATCTAAAAGGGTGCATAATATTCAGAGATGAAGGAGAAGGAATCCAGTAGAAAAGGCTGACACATAAGCTCTGAAGGACAAAACGGCGTAGCCTGGCTGAAACTCCAGAACGGTCTCTTCCTTGGGACAGCTGTGGGTTGGTTTTGTTTCAGTACGTCATAGGAAAGTAATGTGCATAAATAGTTTTCAATAAATTAATAAATAAACCTTTCTCTGTTTCGGTATATACAGAGAGTTAAAGACAAAAGAAAATTCAGAAACACATCTATAGAAACCCATAGATCACACAAGAATATTGTCTCACTAAACATAAATATGTTGGTAGTAGCGTTCCAACATGTGTTTCCACACAGGTGCAAACAAATGCCCGCTGTTTATCTCTTTTTTTGACTAAAATTTGATCTAAAACCTTTCGGTTTTATTACCTCCTCTGCACCGTAAACATATTCTCATCTGAAAAATGTAGACACTAATGACCCTGATGTCCAGATCGATCTTGTAATATGAAGGTGACGACTTGGTAATGCCCAAATTAAAAAGAGGACTGTATACAAGGATTTCCTAGAGGTCACCAGTACCTTTCAGCAAAATAACGAACCCTCATAAATCTCTATTTTTACCGACATTAATAAGTCCAGCCTCTTCTTCAGTAAATTAGCAGCTAATAAAACAAATACCATCATAAAATACATTTACATCATATTCTTTAAATATGTAATATGCAACATATTTTGAAAAAAAAAAGTATTCACATCAAACCAGGCAGTAGTCTTCATTTACCACATTCCTGTCCCATTAGAACAGTCTATATATCAGTCAACAGGACCATTCTTCACACACATCCTCTCTCTTCTCTTGTAAGACCACAGATCCAAAGACTCAGTCAATATTGCACCCATTGGAAAGAAAAAGAGAGGATCAATAAAGGATCAGCTAGATCAATAAATAAATATTCCTTCAGAACGAGAGCCGGTCTGCCTCTGATCGAGGACTTGTGCCATTGTCCTCACAACGTCAAGGAGGGAGGGCCTGGAAAAGGAACCGTCTCATTCCTCGCGGCAGGTGGGCAGATTTACGAAGGTGAATATGTTAAACTCGATGAGGATGGAGAAACACAGGAAGACAGCATACATCAGCAAACAAATGAAACCCAAACGCTTGTCCAGCTTCCACTTGTTCAAATGTACACCGAGAACCTGAGAGGGAAAGAAAGGGTAGAGGGTGAGACCGTGAGAGGTGGATTCAAAGGACATTTGTTTGAATAAGTGTTTTTAAAATACTCCCACATACTGTGAGAAACACAGATGCTAGCAGCAGCCAAACTGAGAAAATCAGGCCTTTACTGTTCAGGTGAATCTGAAAAGAAATGCAGGAAAAAGTATGTTAGAACTTGTAGGATGTAGAACATATGTAATGTATAGATAAATACAACCCCAATTCCAGAGGAGTTGGGACATTTTGTAAAATGCAATAAAATCAAGAATCTGTGATTTGTTAATTCTCCTTAACTTTTATTTAATTGACAAAAGTACAAAGAAAAGATTTCCAAAGTTTTCACTGACCAACGTAAATGTATTTTGTAAATATTAACAAATTTAGTTTTTGACGGCTGCAACATTCCAAAAAAGTTGGAATAGAGGCAAAATAATCGTGAAAAGGTTATAGAATATCCATGTTAAATTGTTTTCAAACAGTTCACAGTAAGCAGGTGAATTGGTAATGGGTCAACGTATCATGTTTGGGTATTAAATGAGCATCTCAGTCTTTGCAAGCAAAGCTGGATCATGGCTCATCACTTTGTGCCAAATGTCATGAGAGAAGTGTCAAACAAATCAAAAATAAAATTTTGCAATGCAAAATTGCAAAGAATTTCACCAAGTACCATACATAATATTGTGAAAAGATTCAGGCAATCCAGAGAAATCACAGTACATGTAGGGCAAGGCAGGAAACCTCAGTTGAATGTGCTTGACCTTTGAGCCCTCAGATGGCATTGCATAAGAAACCGTCATGCTAAATGTGTTAAATGTGTCCTGTGTTAAATATAGCCACATGGGCTCAGGAGTACTTCAGAAAACCACTGTCATTTACCACAGTCTGCTGTTGCATCAAGAAATGCAACCTGAATATCTGTTACTCTAGGAGAAAGCTATACATCAATTCTATGCAGCGATGCTGCCGGGTTCTCTGGGCCAGAACTCATCTCAGATAGTCAAAAAGACAGTGGAAAGGTGTGCTGTACTCAGATGAGTTCACATTTCAACTTGTTTCCGAGAATGGATTTCGAGTTCTCGGTCCCAAAGACCAAAGGGACCATCCAGACTTTCATTAGCGACAGAAGCATGGGTGACTGGAATATGTGCGAAGGTACCATTGACTTGGAGGCATATACGGATTATACAGAGACATACGGTATGCTGCCATCAAGATGATGTCTTTCATGGGAAGTCCATGGTTACTATATCAAGACAATGCCAGGTCTCATTCTGCATGTGCTACAACAGCATGGTTTCGTAGACAGTGTGAAAGTGCTAGACTGGCCAGCAGATCTGTCTCCAGTTGAAAATGTATGGCTCATCATGAAAAGGAGAATCAGACAACAATCACAGACTGCTGAGCTTCTGAAGTCTTGTATCAAGCGAGATTGGACAAAAACTTTGCTTGCAGAACTTTAACAATCAGTATCCTCAATTCCTAAACAATTAAACATTGTAATTAAAAGGAAGGTTGATGGGACACAGTGTTAAGCATGCCTCTATCCCAACTTTTTTGGAGTGTGTTGCAGCCATCAAAATCTGTTAATATTTACAAAATACATTTACGTTGGTCAGTGAAAACTTTGGAAATCATTTCTTTGTACTTTTGTCAATTAAATAAAAGTTAAAAGAGAATGAACAGATCACAGATTCTTGATTTTAATCGCATTTTACAGAATGTCCCAACTTCTCTGGGATTGGGCTTGTATAACAAATTATTTATCTAACAGAAACTCAAAATTTGTGTTCAATTTAGGCCAGAGGTAGACAAACGTACACAGACTCTTAAATTAATATTTTCTTTTTGTGTCTTTTTTGTGTCTGTTTTCTGACACATCACTAACACAAAATATATATTTTTTATTTAATATAATCCATTATTGAAATCTAATTGTTTATTATAATTTCTTTATTTAGATCTGTTTGCCATAATGTAACTCTCACTTAAAGCTGGTCTAGAAATAATTTAATAAGACTTAATGTAATCTTAAGCAAATCTAAAATTAATAGCCATTTTTCATACTCATTAAGAATTTATTTAGACAAAATAGTATCTTACTATTTGGCTATAACAAAAATAATTATCCGTATCAACACATCCCTAATATTTACACAATTTCCTTTTCCTATCAACTAGAAATGACAATATATTAAGAACTGTAATCCCGTAATTGCAACATTATTTCTCACATCTCTGTAAGATTTACATATTTATATCCCATATTTCTCATTTTAATCTTATCTCACAATTACCATTTTCTTTATTTTAGATTCTTTCTATTAGAAAAAAGTATAACTGTTTCCAAAAAATATTAAGCAGCACAACTGTTTTCAACACAGATAATAAGATATGTTTCTCGATCACCAAATAATCATATGAGAATTATTTCTGAATGATCATGTGACACTGAAGGCCCAGTGTTATTTTTAATATACTATTTTAGTTTTTTATTAATATTACATAATAGTGTCTATTTTTCATATTATGTTTCCATTTCCATTTTTTTATACAGTTTTAGTGATTTTGTGTTTTTGCCATTTTGTTATATATATATATATATATATATATATATATATATATATATATATATATATATAATTTTATTTAGTACTTAGTTATGTTAGTTAAACTAAAAGAACATTTAAAAATTATGCTTTTAAATATGTTATTTTATTTCAGGTAAGGAACTTTTTTATGGTTTCGTTTTTAGTTGTAATTTTAGTTTAAGTTAGCGAAAATAATAACAAAGTGAAGACTGGAGCTTTGCCAACACAGGAGGAATCAATTAAATTTGAAAATTGATTCAGATGGAAAACAGTTGTTTTAATATTGTAATAAAAAAATTAAATGTAATAATAATTCATTAGAGATTCCTTAAAAAAAAAATTCTATAAAATGTAGCTGTACTTTTGTTTTTTGTGCTTGTGTGACTGACCTCTGTAATAAGCATTCTGGAGGCCATTGTGAGGCGTGTGCGAGGGGAGAAGTGGCTGGTGATCATGATTCTCATTCCGGCCTCAGAGAAGGACAGCTGATGAGGGTATGCAGACAAGAGTTCGTCCACCATCAGCACTGATGGCTTCCTGTGGAAATTTGCTAAGAGGGGCAGAACAACAAGCAGAAATTTAGATGGGCACCAAGCAGTTGTACACACTTATAAAAAAACAGGTCTGCATGCACTACCTTTCTTAAGAAGCACGACAGTGGCATCACACCCATCGTCGATGTCTGTGTTACTGGCTGTGCCATTACCCAGATTTGCAGAGTTCTTTTTCCGCCGCTCGATGTAATGAACCACCCGTGAGTTAAATCTGATTAACACCAAGGAAGGAGAGTTAATAAAATCAGCAGTGATGCGATTTACTGATGTGGAGTAGATACGAATAGCAATGAATCCATGTAATAATGAAACATTTCCATAGTGACAGAATAGAGTCTAGAGAATAGAGAACTTACTTCATTAATATAATGTAAAACATGTACAGAACTATTAGGATGAGCGATTCCCACCTGAGAAGAGAAAAAGTAGTGTAAATGACTGAATACAAAAAATTGTGAAACAGTTGTAATATGAAAAATTAAGAGGGTGGTCTTGTGTAACAGCAGCTTTAATCTTACCATGTCACCTTCTCATCATAGATGAACTTGAAAAAAAAAAGAGTACAAAGTTAAATTTAACAGACAAATCACAATGACAAAGCCAAATTTCTTCAAACAGTTCTGAAATGTCACACCTTACCACCAGAGGGCAGGATTATCTTACTGTAAATATGGGCCCTGAGGCTTTAATGAGTAATCTAATGGAGTAATATAATATAATATTACATTATTAGTATAATTCCAGTGAAACATTTACATGACGTTTATTTTCAGGATTTAAAAAAAGGAAAAGACATATCACCTCTTCCAAAAAAGAGTTGAAGTTTCAACTGTATGAGTATAAACTTTTACAATACATTTAGTTCTTTCAGTGAATCCAATTTTTAATAAGGTGCTGTGAGTAACGTCTCAGATACTCTGTGTCCCGTGTACTAATAATCGGTGTTTGTTGTTCCTCTGTGCTGGGAACACATGCAGAGTGTGGGCAAATAAGAGGCCTGTGCTGCAAGCCACAGGCCCCACGGGAGAGCCACTTGCTTCTCCTCTCCTGCTGCGCGAGGAGGCCCATAGGCATCATGGGAGCATGAAAAGCCACTCAAGAGTTCTACTCACCACGATCAGAGTGGTCACTGCGATAGTGTAGTACATTGAGTCTCTCATTAACGTCCAACACGAGAGCCGTACTGCCTGCATCGACAAGAGAGAGTGGACGGATGAGAGAGAGAGAGAGAGAGAGAGAGAGAGAGAGAAAGAGAGAGAGACAAACATACTTAGACTCAAAGGGAGGGTGCCAATGGAATTGAGCAAGTGTCAAAGCAGTAAAACGCTGTAATTTAATCAATTTACTTTCACCAGTCACCTTGAACAAGTGTTTTTTTGTTGTGGTGACATAAATCATGAAAAAAAACCCCTACACTGTTAAAACATTTTTACCAGTAAAATACCATAAAAATAACACACACCCCAAAAAACAACAACTAAAAAAGATCTAAAAACCTGTTAATTGTTTAAGGGTAAGTTTTTGGAAGTGAAAAAAAAAAAGAAATTACAAGCGATCTTATAAATAAATCATATATTGACATTCCCAGAATTCCCTGTTTGACATCTGTCATTTGATGGATTTGAATTAAAATAACTTTGTTTTAAAATAACAGTTTTTTTCTAATTAGTTATGTACATTAGAGTTTTTGTTACATTTTATGTTGTTAAATTAATGTTTATTTGGCACTAGTGTCAAGTGTGCTACCATGATGGTGTTTTGTATTTGTGTGCAAGACACTGACACACCTTCCATATATTAGTCAACCTGTGGAAAGGCTACTTGTGATAAGCTTTGATTGTATATGTGGTTTTCTCATTACCACCCTTTTTTTTGTGGTTGTCAGTGTACCATAAAGGTTCAAAAACAGAATTTAGAACTTCAGTAGTTTGGTATTTTAACAATATATCGGCTAATGAAATATAATTTAAAACCTAAAATGTTGCTACCATATTTTTGGCTAAAGTTCTGACAGCCACAGCAGCTGGTTATTTACTGTAAATTTCACAGATTTTTAAAAAAATTTTATTTTATTTTTTCAGTGTAGAGCAAGTTTTGTAAATCATAAAGGTTTTCATATTACAGGGCCATGATTATAAAAGGGACACACATAGAGTTTGAAATAAAACTGCAGAAAAACAAAAAAAACAAAAAAACCCCCGGTATCTTTAATAATGATATTGCACAATAGTTGTACAGTATATTAAGGAGTTTAGTTCAAAAAGTCTCTATTCACCACAATAAATAAATGGCATGCTTCTTTCATTCATGGACTGGTATTAAAGGATTTTAAAATGTGTCAAATCTTATATAATGTGTAATCTGTGACTATTTCCCGATTTTTTTTGAAAAGTTGGTCTTGGCTTGCAAACTTTAGAATTCTGAATTAAAGTGCGTGAATTGGAAGCGAGTGAAGGAAATTAATAAAGTAGGAACCATATATGGATATGACATTCTGCACCGAATCCAGCTGATTGAACTGTGTGAAATAATCCATATTGAATGTGCGTCATGTCGTATAGGGCGATCCTTCCATAAAAAGCATTGATCTACGTCAGAGCACCAGAAGTAATGCGCCATCATCCCTCACGCTAGCACAGCTTAACTTACACCACAGGTGACACTCTTTGCTTTGTGTTTCCGTGGCAACTAGAAGCTCCATTGTTGCAGATGTGTATTTTTCCAAAATAAATTTCATGTCAATTAACTGATCATTTGAATTCATGTCATTTTTCTTTATTTATGATGGAGAAGGGCATAAAACAATTGTGTGTATGTGTGAGACACAAGACTTTTCTGAGGTCTATCAGACTACCCAAAATGCCTCTATTCCACTGCCAGATGGTGACTGGAGAAAGACTGGGAGAGGAAAAAACTATTAAGCAGTTTCCCATGCTTGTGCAAAGACAGAATAACCTCATATCCTCTTTTCTTTAACATAGTAAGGGTCTCAGGAGGTTAAACCGAAGGAGCGTGAATGACTGAATGAAGTGGAAAGCAAAGATGACAGGATGGAGAAAGAAAAGCAGTTCCACAGCTAACATGGCTGACATCATTGGCTACTCTCAGTGACCCCTGAGAATAGTCTGCTCACTTCTTATGTCATTTTGCACTAAGTAATGGCTTTTTTAGGGCAGAGATTTAGGAAGGGGATGCACAGGTCACCTCATTCATCTCTAAGTCGTCCTCTCACAGATGCTGAGAATTTATAATGCTTGCTCAGTACATTTGTGTCGACTGTCTAAAGAAAAATAATGTCTTACAGGCAATCCATAGAGACTGTAGCAAATGAGGGTGTAAACAGTGCTGGGGAAGATACAGTACTTTGAATAGAACTATAGCATTCTTCCACTATGGGTTCAAAAGATCAATTTACACTTAAGAAAACTACAAAACACCCAATTTATATAACTGAACCAAAAAGATAGCAACAAACACTAGCATTTAACAAAATATTTCGCTACACATAGGACGGCGCATGGACTTTTATGCGGAAACCAAAGTGAATCTGTGAATTAGTTGGCTGGATCAATTCACTAAAATGCTACATTTGAGAAAGAAATAACAGTTTTTCATTTGAATTAGTTTGAAACATTACCTAAAAACATCTTTTGGGTGAGTTAATGTGCAAATCAATGAGCACCTGTGCAGTAAAGATCCCACACACTCCGATGATGCAGAGGATATTGAAGACAGCAGAACCCACGATTGTGCCCACTCCCACATCTCCTTTAGTGATAAATACACCTGCACAGAGAAGACAGGGTGGCTTACAAAGGGCATGTGAAGGTCCATGTTCAAATGTGAGGGGAATTGTTTTCCAAAAGCACGCTGTGTTCGGAGATGTTTACCTATGACCGAGGTGAAGAGTTCAGGAGCTGAACTTCCTGCTGCCATGAACGTGGCTCCTGCTACATCCTCACTGAGATGGAGGCGCTACAACACATTTACACACAGACAGAGAGAGAGACATCAAAGATGAAGTGAAAAATTTGCACCAAACAGAACACTGAGTTTCCTGAACCCTCCTCCCATCTGCTATTGGTCAGAAAGCAGAAATATTTAATGTAAATATTTTAATATTAAAAACATAGTAGAATTATTATTAAAAATAGCTTAGATTGGGACAAAATAGAAATATTTAATTAATATATTTTCTTATGACAACTATAACTCTAAATAGCTTTACAGCTTTAATGTAGTCTAGACTGTGACAGGAGAAAATATTAAATAAATAATTACATATTTTACTTTTGAACTTGCTTTAAATGATTTAGCATATGCAGAACATTTGCTAGGACATAATAAATGTCTTACCTCACAGATCTTCTCCAGAGAGGGCACAAAGTAGTCATCACACACCAGTGCCAGTGCGTAAAACATATACATGGTCTGTAGAGAAAGAGAGAGAAAGAGTAAAAACAAAATTAATTAAACTTAACCTTGCTTAAAGTTCTCACTTTAAGCCTTTTGAAGCTATTTCTGTCATCATTTATTCACCTTCAAGTCATTCCAAACCTGTATGAGTTTATTTATTCAGTTGAACTAGCATGAAAAAAAAATACTATGGGAGTCAATAGGGACCAGCAACTGTTTGGTTACAAACATTCTTCAACATATCTTCTTTTGTGTTCAGCAGCAGCAGAAGGTTTGGAACAACTAAAGGGTATGTAAATTATGACAGTTATTCTTTTAAATTATGGTCTGCCAAAATGGTCAAAATGGTTAAGAGCCACTGCATTATTTAGAAAAGATCAGCCAGGATATTTTATTCAAAACTTCACCTTTAGAAATTAAATATGAGGCTGAGAAAATCATGACAGAATTTTCACTTTCTTCCTTTAAAGCCAAAGTGGTCCATTGTGGAAATACCACCTCAAATTAGATTGCGACACGTGATGAAGCCTCTGTAACTTCACATTACATAAGAACTAAAAAAAAAAACAGACTCTAGAAGCCACTGCAGGGAGCGCATGAAATTTGTGCAAAGCGAAATTCTTCCGTGCGGGCACATTTGAGTACATGAGTGTCAACACCATTAAATTCTCAGAGCAATCTGCCCTCCAGTGGGACAGCCATCCACTGGGACTATTCAGACCTTTTCTTAGAAAGTGTCCCGATGACAGAAAGGCACTGATGGAAGTTGGTGCCCTTTACAGAGTGAGGGGTGGTGGGGGTTCAAAGTTTATTTGTCTTATACTCAATAGGGATGGAACTGATGTTTTTTTTTTTTTGCACAACCTGACATGTTTTGCATTAAAGAGCTGTGTGTGGATTAGTTGCTCCAACATCTGCTCTGGTCAGATGGGTGTGAATCGCAGATGTCATGGTCCCTTGACATGCAACACACACATATGCATGTGAACTTATGCATGTACATACTAAAAAAAGTACATAATGCTAACAACAATTAATATACAAAAAAATTGTATAATTAAAATATATTAAGTGTTGTCAATTGAATATAACATTTGAAAATATTCTAGAATAAACTATGTTAAACGAGCATGAATTCACATAGAACTTGCATATACATACAGATGGATGCAAGCACACGCTGTCCTTTCAAAGCCAGCTCCCATTCACTCCTGGGATCCGTTTGCCAACTGTTTCCCGCCAAGACTTTGCCAATCAGTGCATCTAATTCAGCCGCCATGCTGCCAGGCTTGCACTGTGTGCCCATTAGGTAATCTCTGCCCACTACACTCTCATTCCCTCCCCTTACTTTTATTCTTGACCTTCTGACAAAGCAGAGCTGGGCTACTGAAGCCCCAAAAGATAAATAAAACATGTAAACAGCTGGAGGGAGTCTTAAGAGGGTTTTCGCTGCAGCTTTTACCATCCACTCACTCTCTGCTTACATGGGCAACTGCCTAAACAACGCACAATGGTAGTGTCAAACCATCCCTGCAGGGGATTTCAGCAGGAACACACAGTACTGCATCAGTACCTGCTTCACTTAAAAGTGTGCTCAGAGTCAGACATGGCCTATGGGGGCAGGAAAGCCTGATGCATGATGAATAGTCTCTCTGTGATAGCTTACGATGATGGGGGTGGAACAGAGCAACTCAGTTTATTTTATTAAGTCCAACTGCAATGGATTTATTAAGAGAGCATAAATGTAATAATTCATGTTCCAGGTTCAATATAAATTAAGTTCTATCAACATCCATTGTGAGTGGCATGATATCAGTTACCACATAAAACAATTTTTTTTATCTCTTAGTTCTTTAAAAATACCAACAACAACAAAGCTAATTTTTAAGTGACATCATAATTGCTTTAGGAATATAAATACGTATGTCTGTGTTTTTTTGTTTGTTTGTTTTTTGGCCATAAAGTAGAGCAGGTAGAGCAATTTCAATGAATTACACTTCAATGAAAAATTCAAAAATTCAAGTCGTGACTCAAAAATGTTCTGGACAGCCACCCAGCTTACACTGCTTCCAACTTCTATTCCTATTTTACTTTGGCTCCATTTTAAACCTCTAGAGAACACTCAACTCAATCCATGAAAGAACAGAAACTTTAGGAAATACTGTTGGCAGAGGGAACTCTATTGTGTATTATTGTAAACAAATGATTGCGTCATCTGGCATAGACTGCCAGAGACTATAAACTCCAATCTCGCTCTCTATATGCACAATCACTGTAGTAAACAGTATTTCAGGTAAGAACTAAAGCACATGCCAAGATGTGTACAGGCTTCATCATGTTCTACTGTAGATCATTTATAAAGTGCATCTGAACATGAAAACACTGATGCCATTAATGGAAGTAACTGGAAATTAAAAATGATCAAATAAATGAGCTTTCTTCATAAATAATACACTTCATCAGAGTAAAGAATAACTTACAAAATTAGAAAAAGTCATTAACTAAGCTACTCCATACAAAAATATTTAAAGGTACCATTATTGATTAAGATATACAGTATATAAAATATGTAATGTATAATATGTTTTCATATTATATACATTTATTAAATAATTAATTAATAAGTATTAATAAATGCATATAAAATAAAAAAAATATTTTCAAGTCTATTTTTCCACATCATCAGAAATTACATATTAGATTCCAAACAAGAAAAAATTATATGATCATATTTTTGCATATTTCATTAAACTAAATAAAACTAATCACTATTGGGGCATGTTGTCACACACATCGGTTGAGTTAAATGTATTTGTCATACTGGTTAATGTGGCAAAGACATCCTGATTGGACAACAAGCTCTCACAATATAATTTAAGTTGAACAACGCCTTCTCTCCATTCAAGTGAAGTAATATAACCTGAAAATTAACATGATCAATTCATTCATGTGTACCAATGAGCAAGTCGCTTGGAAAATCCTTTGTAGCCATTGTAACAAATAATACAGGTGAAGCCAGAGACTGCCCTGATGCTTGAATGGAACACACAGCCTTGTGACTTCAAGTGTGAGTGTAATTTCAAACTACTGTGTCGAATGTTGAAAAGGAAAAGCAGATGGTAGAGATACTTACACACAGAACATGCAAGGCTACAGCCCCCTCCATTCGCTCCTGGTTGGTGAACATATCATCAGGGAACTCATGTACACCTGCAGAAAGCACACACAAACATTTGGCTACATGAATAATCCACGTATAACGCATAGAGCAGCGCACACGAGCCTCAGTGATTCTTCCCACTCATTGTACAGCATGTAATTAAACATATGGATCACTCCAGAAGACAAATAGTAAATGCTTTCAGTCACAGACTAATTACACACAGCATAAATTCATCTCATTAAAGTAGAATGTGCTGGCATATACTTTTGTCACCATTAAATGGCTAGATCACTTAAAAATAAAAATTGTGTAATATAAAGGAGATATTTCACAGAAATGTCTGAGCTTCTCTCTTCCATACAATGAAAGTGTTTGGGGGCTGTCAAGGCTGTCAAGCTTCAAGGCTGTCAGAACTTCAACCCCTGAAGTCTTCTGAAGCCGTATTTTAAGATGCATGACGCAGCTTAAAATGTAGGTCATTACTCGCTAAACATCTTGCCTATAAAATCTTGCTTGACAGCCGTGGTCACCATTCACTTTTATTGTATGGAAAAGAGCAGCTTGGACATTTTGCCTAACATCTCTATTTGTTTGCTATAAAACAATATGGGTTTCAGAACACATGAGGGGGAGTAAATGATGACATAGTTATTTTTTTTTTGGTGAAATATCCCTTTAAGAGTCCAAAAAGAGTTAATTATTCATCAGCAGAACCCATACAGTGAAACATTTCTGCTCTGATCGCTTAGAACAACAAAATTACTTTATCAGACGTCATTCACTGAGCTTCAGAGAGAATTGATAACTATATGACTGTGGCATTGGTGTAATTTTCAGGAGCTGTTCTTGCATTACTGCTGCTCCCAGTCCATCGCTGCTCTGTTAACAAGCTATTCACTGCCACAGCATGTCACTCGGCCGGCTCCATTGATAAGCTTGCAGCCTGCCGACAGAATCGGGTCAGTGAGAGTGGCCACTTATTTGCCTGGATTCGGTTTTACATGTTCTAAGATGGTGGGAGTGACAAAGTCAGCCGTGAGCTGTCTGAAGTGTTGCAATTGTGCTCGTTCCTACACAGCCCGTTGCCATGACGTCAACATCCAAGATACTACAGTCCTGATTGAAAAGAACTGAGACCCCAGAGACCGGCTTTGTTCCATTCAGGGAAAAGCCTGATCTCTCTGCAAACGTGAAACCTGATTTATTTCATTGCTGACAGAAAAATAGCTCAGAATGTGCACGACTTTGAACGCCTGTCACTTTTTATGATTGAAAGGCAGACAGTATCTAGAGACACTAAAATAAATTGCTTGTTTGATCCTCATTCCTCTCACACTGTTTTTTTTTGTCTCTAATATTGTTAGAAAGAGCGTCTTTTATGTCTGTAAAAGCAAGTTTAATCATTTTGCATGATTTTTTATGTTTTAGTTTCATTTATGGGTATTTCTTTATCTATAGACACATTTGTTGCTAAGGACTTTTACAAAGTAAATTATCTTAAAACAATTTTGACAACTCCACTAATTTAATTGGTCCACTAACAATTACTGGAAAACTCTGTAATTTTTTACTATTTTTCATATTAAGTGTCATAATTACAGATATAGGAAATAATGAGCAAATAAGATATTCCTCTTAAGTGATATTTACCCAGATTATTCTTGATTTTCATATCATATCACATATAATGTCTCATATTTCATCTTAAGCATGCTCTTCACTGACACATGTGTCTTCTTGGTAACGAAGTACACTAACATTTCATAAACCTTTGCTAGTGGCAAAATTGTTGGTTATGATAGTAATTACATTACAATTGAGGGAAAGTAATAAGGTAAAACAAATTAAAATATTCCCACCATAAATATTGAAGTAATTAAACTATTTTTGTAAGATCATTATCGTTTTAAAATATAATATTTTATGATTAAAGGTCTGGATCTAAGGCAAGGACAAAAAAATAAAATAGCACACATAATAAGTAACTATAATGAAAAGCAGGTAAAAAGTTTATATATTTACAAAGTTTATATATTTACAAATTAAATGTTTAAAGGGGTGGTTGATTGTGTTTTTGCTTCGTTTGAAAAAAAATCATTATTTTTCACATAATTTACCTTTATTTCACATCGCTCTGTCCCTTCTCCTATAAACGTGATCATTTCCTTCTTTTATGAAGCCCCTCCCTCAGAAATACGCAATGGGCTCAGATTGGTTAGCTGGTCCAATGTGTTGTGATTCGCTAAACCGCCTCTAGTGTGCGTCTAAACGTCTCGCCCCTCACCTCAGCAGCATGTGCTCCGGTTGTATTGTAAACAATGGCGTCGTCTATATTGCTTATCAATTTGAGCCCAATTGAGACCCAGAGAATATTAGTGAAGAGGATCGTGCAGAACCTGTGCAAGCATGGCCCTTAATGATATGTTTTTTGTTTGTTGTTGTCTCATACTTTTAGATACACTGTTATTTGTAAATGCTACTGCTTCTGTTAGCTTTTAATATACGCTTTTATCCTGATTAAAGCTTTAATACAGTACGGCAACTGCACGCACGTCCATGTATAACGCTTCTCATAGCTATGTGAAAATAAGTGTATAATTGGAACAGTTCATTGTTGGAGCTGAGCTGAAGATTTGAATGAGAAAGAGAGAGAGAGAGAGAGAGAGAGAGAGACAGAGATGCAGAGCGTGTGCAGAGCAGGGGGACGCGAGGAACAGTATTGAGAACCGCTGCTTTAGAACATTGATTTTGAAACTTGTGAATCCATTAGAATCGTTAGAAGACAGAATTGCGATTCATATATGAATAGATTTTTACGTGCACCCCTAGTTTTCTCTTCCTTTTCTCTAAAGCAACACAACATGGCCTTGCCCCCTTTGCTGCATGTTCCCGGGGGCGGGTTTTATCTGGGTTTGTGATGTCACAAACCCGGAAAGTAACTCTTTGTAGTCCCTACGAGCCATTTTTGTAGGCATTCAGCTGCCATAATTCTAAAAGACGATATCTCCGTTTGCATTGAACTTTCAGCGTCGTAACTTTGCAGATATTGTTTATGCTTAAACAGCAACATTACATACTAACTAACGTTAAAAAACTGAAATCGCATTCAACCGCCCCTCTTTAAAAACTATACTATATATGTGACTTTCACATAAGAAAAAAGTTGTAATTTGTTAAAGATAAATAAATAAAATGAAACCCTTTAAAAAGTAATTTCAGATTCAACATTTTCACAATTGGTTGCAGTACTGCACATCAAATACATACAATGTGATTTCCTCTTTGCACAGATGTAATGTTACTCTCTTGTGCCGCCACATTGTGAGCAAAGTTGACAAACTACAAGCTATCTCTCAGTTTCATATAAAGATCAACATAACAGTATTTGTATAACACAGCAGTCATTACAGGAATATCTGCAAGGGTGTTTGTGCGTGTCCATGGCTGCGCATTGTGCAGTGACATTCTCTCCCAGATCACCGGGGAGGCTGAATGCGTCAGCATGCTTCACACTGCCCCAAATGCCCTAAACACCACAGAGGTGAACTCAAACAACCCAAAATAACTCACAAAACAATCCTTTATCATCCTCTAGCAAAAAAAAGAAGCTCCCACCTGGTGCTTCTGTATGTATGGTACATTTAATGACACAAATCCTTCATAATTACACACTCATAGCTCCTGAAGTATGTGAAAAGAGAGACGTACCCTTGCTCTATGACCTCTAGGTCTCATGCCAGTCTCCTATTGCTCGTTTCACCCACAGAAAAAGAGACAAAAGGCTTCTGATGACAAACAGATGAATGAACCGCTGGACCGAGAGTCAGCTGCCTATTTTTATCCAAGGCCGCCACATTGTGAGCAAAGTTGACAAACTACAAGCTATCTCTCAGTTTCATATAAAGATCAACATAACAGTATTTGTATAACACAGCAGTCATTACAGGAATATCTGCAAGGGTGTTTGTGCGTGTCCATGGCTGCACATTGTGCAGTGACATTCTCTCCCAGATCACCGGGGAGGCTGAATGCGTCAGCATGCTTCACACTGCCCCAAATGCCCTAAACACCACAGAGGTGAACTCAAACAACCCAAAATAACTCACAAAACAATGCTTTATCATCCTCTAGCAAAAAAAAGAAGCTCCCACCTGGTGCTTCTGTATGTATGGTACATTTAATGACACAAATCCTTCATAATTACACACTCATAGCTCCTGAAGTATGTGAAAAGAGAGACGGACCCTTGCTCTATGACCTCTAGGTCTCATGCCAGTCTCCTATTGCTCGTTTCACCCACAGAAAAAGAGACAAAAGGCTTCTGATGACAAACAGATGAATGAAACGCTGGACCGAGAGTCAGCTGCCTATTTTTATCCAAGGAACAACAGATCTGCTCTGGTGCTCTTGGTTCACATGGGTTTCATTGTTGGTGTGGTCTTCATTAGAGAGTCACAGCCTCTCTTCGCAGAGCGCTCCCTGGCACAAGAGATTCTGATTAATCTAATTTCAATTACAGCGCCAATGAATAAAGCAGCACTAAACAATAGCCAGTTACTGTGAGCGGATCAATTAAAGAACACAAAACAACAGCAACAGCAACAGAAAGACGAACTTGGCAATGTTGAAAGGGTCTACGGAAAGGTCCCTTCTGTAATTACGGAGAAGGCAAACAAACAGAAACGAATTTGAAATCTCTTTATTGTACACTAGCTACAGAGTTAAAACAAATGGATGAGGCCTCGGTTCCTCTCCCAGAGCGACTGCTAGCGAGAATTAGACAAGAACATTCCAAGCTAATGAGAAAAGACTAAAATCGCCCGGAAAGTTAGGATAGAGAAGGACAGGGCTGATTCTCAGCAGAATTTGGACCTTGCACAACCTCCTCCTCCAGAGTACCAGGAGACTAATGGCCAGCAGGAAGGACATGAAGACAGTCCACATACATTAACCGCTGTCAGCGCCGACCCCCTGCTCCTCCTCTGAGAACTGCTCAGCTCCTCATGAGGACATGAGACAGCCGTACACATCTAAGTTCCCTTCAGTG